CACCTGGTCTCAGCTATTTTGCTATGAGATGGTCTAAAATTGTTCTTTGTTTTATTTTGGCCTCCAGTTAAAATTCCATTACATTTGTTGGCCAGGAATGGACGTGCTTCTTGTGAAAGGAGTTTTTCCTCCAGATATAATTGACACTCACTTCACAGCCTCTAATTTGGCTAACAAATAGATAGACACTGATAGCAATTTCCTGTGAAGCAAAGTGAGATAAGTTGAGACAAATCAGTGGTCGCTTCACAGCTGTGCGTAGGAACTTTAAGCACAAAAATTGGCTACCGACTTTGTCTAGAAATTTGCAGTCACTGCATTTTTTTTTGTGTGTGTGGGGGGGTGTCTAACACGTGCGGAAACCCATCATCGTGCTTAAGAGTATCCAAACCCAAATGAGAATTCTGTGCCTCCCATCTATATGTGGAAATTCCAGAGATAGATTGTTGGAATGTAATGCTCTCTCTCTCTCTCTCTCTCTCCCTGGAGGGGCTCATCTGCTTACCTAATTCCAGAATAGTATCAGGTGCAGGTTGGCAAGAGCTAAGGCTACCCCAGAGTGTGTTGGGGGTAACTGCTGGAGTCTAACCAACTAAAACCACGTAGCTTGCCGTTGGGAGCACAGCCTGGCAAGATGCCTCACAGTCACTACACTGGGAAGGAATTAACCTGTGAAGCACTTTGAGATGCTTTGTCGTAACAGGCACTGAATGGTAAGTGAGATGCCTCCTCTTTGTGTGGTACTATGTGTGTGTGTGTGTGTGTGTGTGTGGAAGTTCTGACTGAGTTTGTCCTGGAGACAGACTGTCAAATTGAAGCTTTCCAGTTTCCTCTGAGGTCGGTCAGGAATTGCCAGAATGCTGAGAATGGTCGCACCCACTTCATTGCTCTTGTTCATGAGCTACGGAGGGTGAAGCTGGCCTGAGCCCCGACCACATCAGGCAGACTGTGTTCTCTCCAAGGAGGCCCTTCCCTTCAGTAATCGGGCAGACAAGCACAGCTGAAATCTCCCAGTGTATAAATGGGAGGTTAGCAAGCCCGCACCCTGCTAACCAACACCTCGGTGTGTGTGTGTTGGGGTGGGGGGGGTTTATGCATGTCTTTCAGAGTTGTACTTATCCGCCCGTATCCCCTACTTACCTGCCTGTACCCTCCGTTCCTCTGGCTCCGGTCTGCTCCACATCCCCCGCCCCAACCGCCCTACCATCGGTGGTTGGGCCTTCAGCCTCTCAGCCCCGAGGCTCTGGAACTCTATCCCCAGTGCCTTCGCCACTTCCTCCCTTTCCTCCTTCAAGGCCGGTCTCAAGACCTTTCTCTTTGACCTTCAGCTCTGCTCTCGACTCTCTACCCCCTCCTCGCTCCCTCCCTTCCCTCTCCTCACCCTGACCATTTCCCCCCTGCTCAGGTCCTGACCCAACTGTCCAGCGCCTTGGGACGTCCTCCCGACGTGAAAGGGGCTCTATAAATGAAATCTTGTTGTTGTTATTGTAGATGTCGCACTTGTAGGGAAGGAGTCACACCACTCGAGGGAGGAGTCGGTCTGTTGGGAAAGGGGTCACATCTGCTGACCATGACCCAGTTATTGAAAGGTGCAATGCTAATTTAATTCAAACCTCTTACATTTTGTTCCCCCCCCCAAAAATAATGTCAAAATAATTGCCCGAGCTTCCAATCTTACCATAAAAGTTCCCATATTCCCAGCACAACAATTTTTGGGGGCTGTCAGTCGGGCGTCTGGCGTATGTGGAACCCCATCACCGTGCTTAAGAATCCCCAAACCAAGCTGAGAATTCCATGGATCCCACCCGCTCATGGAAATCCTAGAGATAGATTGTTAGATTGGAATGCGCACTCTCTCTCTCTCCCTGGAGTGACGCATCCTGCTTACTTAATTCCACGGTAGTGTCAGCCACAGGTTGGCAAGAGCCAAGGCTTGGGGGGAGCCTAGAGTTTGTGTTGGGGTAACTGCTGGAGTCTAACCAGCTAAAATCACACGGCACTATCAGAAACTGATTTATCCCTGAGGTGCAGGCTTGGCTAAAAAAAAACAGTTATTTGTTTGAAACAAAGATAAAGTGAGAAATCTCAGAGATCGTTCCATGGGCTGGGGGGGGGGGGGGGGTGGTGGGGGTGGGGGGGGGGGGAATTAAGCCTTATTTTTAGCTGAATCTCAAATCCAACATGAGCCAAAATCTGTCTGTGTGTCAGAAGCCTGGATTTTGTCCAGGTCATTATTCCTGTCTATACTCTCAGTGGACTGTAATACCACTCTACTGTCTGTTAATAGAGAACGCTACAACACTTGAGCCACTAACCTCACTTGGTGGACGGTAGCTCAGGACGAGATCATTCCCCACTAATGCTATTTACTGCTGGTGTTTTGAGCAGCCGTGTGGATGAGATATTGCAGGGTTGCTGTCAGGGGACACTTCAGTAATGTTAACCAAACTCCGTCAACTGGGACGTTTGCAAGTAGCACATCGATTCCTGGCCAACAAGTGTAATGGAATATTAGGGCAGGCCAAAATAATTTTGGACTATTTCATAGAAAAATGGCTGAGACCAAGTGGAATTTCAGGCCACCATAATAACAGGCTTTTAACTCTAACCTGTTGCCAACTACTACTACTACTACTAATCCTTACATTTGATACAGCTCTTCATCATGTCTTCGAGACAGACTTCGGGATTTTCTGTGAAGTGAATTGACTGCATATTTTGTGGGTGAAACGTACTCAACAATAAGAACAAGAGAGACCCACATTGTAGGACGCTACAGCACAGAACCAAGCCAGACTTGTCTGTGCTGACGTTTAGAACCCACAAGTGCCTTCACCCCCCACTCCTCCTCCCCCCCTACACCTTTATTCCCTCCTTCCCGCTCTCACTGGCGCTGCCTTCAGTAAATCCTCTCCCTAACTCCAACCCCAGTGTTTACACCAAGAGCTCAGGGTGATAGCTAACACCCACTTAAGACTAGTTATTATTCCTGCGCATCACAATGCCCTGACTCTGCTCAGCCTCACAGAACAATGGGGATTCCTCGAGCCCCAGCGACGGCCTGTGCTCCAGTCCAGACAGACACTTATCCCCTTGAGGGAAACCATAATTTCACTAATGAAAGGAAACCTCGACTCAACTCCCCAAAGCCAGCACAAACTGTGGCTAAAGCCAAGGTTGGCTTCAGTTTGCTCCACTTCAGCAAGATGTGTCCAATAGTTTCTCATTATCTAATGGTGCCTTTGCCATTCCACCCACTTCCTCATTACTCATCATACTGGAGCGAGCCAACTCTACAGGAACCAAGTGCCCTAGCTTCAACAGCCCAGATGTTTGATTCCACTGCCAGTTAACATCTCTCCCCCTCGCTCCCTATTACAGAATAACGTTTCAAAATTCCTCATCCAACCTTAACTAATAGCTTTGAGCCAACCAGTTCACACAGAGGTTGATTAACGTGTGGGCTGTGGACAGGTTCAAGGAGGAAATGGATAATACAGTAAAACTCATATAAATCTGATCTGTATAAATCATATAATTGCCTGAGTCCCATTCAAGAGTTTATATTCTAAGGACGTTTGACAGATCTCATACTTTGCATAAGTCATGTTAAATGTATGGTCCCGACTGAAAAGACTTATGTGAGGTTTACTGTATTGTGATGGTGAAGAGGATTGAGGAGTGAGGGGAGGGGGTGAGGGGAGGAGGAACGTGAGATAAGGAAAGTGATAAGTCTATCCAGATGCGCTGTAGTGGGGGAGCGGGGAGAGAGCTGAAGTGGGAAGTGGGGTTACTTTATAAAAAGGCCAATATGGAAAAGCAGGGTGCAATGCCCAGATATGGTGGGCTGAATGGTCTCCTTCATTGTGGAAACTCTTCCACATGACCCTCACACTGGTTACAGAAAGCACGTCCATAGGAACAGGAGGAGGCCGTTCATCCCTTCGAACCTGTTCTGCCATTTAATCAGATCATGGCTGATCTGTACCTCAACTAATCCTTTGAATTCCAATTTCCCCCTTTCTCCCCTTATCCCTTAATTCCCTGACCTACCAACAATCTATCAACCTCACTCTTGAAGGTGTGGTTGGATCCTGCATCCATGGCCTTTTGGGGTAGGGAATTCCAGATTTTTACCCCCATTTGAGTGAAAAAATGTTTCCTGATTTCACTCATAAAAGTTCTAACTTTTTTTGGATTCCCCACCAGAGGAAATAGCTTCTCTGAATCTACCCTATCAAATCCCTTTATCATCTTGAACACCTCAATCAAATTACCCCCTCAACCTTCTAAACTCAAGGGAATACAATCCAAGTTTACCCAGTCTTTCCTCGTAACTTAACCCTTTTAGGCCTGGTGACATTCTGATGAACCTGCGCTGCAACCGCTCCAGGGCCAATATATCTTTCCTGGGATGTGGTGCCCAAAACTGAACGCAGTCTCCAGATGGAGTCTGACTAACACTCTATACAGCTGAAGTATCATTTTTTTCCCTTGTATTCCAGGCCCCTTGAGATAAAGGCCAACATTCCTTTCGCCTTTTTGATTACTTTAACCTTCTTGTTGTTTTATTTTCCTTTCTGCTACTGAACCATTTCCCCCAGAAAATTACTTTACAACAATTTTGTATTCTTCATCAATTCTGGAACTCTTGCCCTCAATCCCCTCGTCTTGCCCCCTCCTTCCCCATCTTCAGGTCGCGCCTGAAGACCTTCCTCTTCGACCGTGCCTATGATCACACAGACCCCCTCTGTCCGGCTTGGCGTTGTGCTCAGCCACCGTCAAGCACTCTAGGACGCTACCCTGTGTGAGGGGTGCTGTGTAACAGCAAGTTGTTGTTTTATATATATATATATATATAACCTTCAGTGATACTCTGTTGAGCTGTCAAATCTTATAAAAGTAGCAGACAGCTTCTGTTCTCCCCATCTTTCCATTCCGTTGACATCACAGAATGTGAAACACTGGATTCATTGCCTGTTAATTATTTTCCCTGATGCTGTGTCTATTGGAAGAGACACGGCATCACTGCTGGATGTAAAGGGACCCAAGTCAGAGTTGAGTCTCCGCAGCTCCTCACAGCTCCAGACCTCCTAGATTTCCAGAGGCCCTCCCACCAGCCCTCCTCCTCACCACAACACAGACAGTGACACTGGCTGGAGCAGGAGAAGCACTGTCAATGCAGACTGGCGACACAGCAGGACTGAGACCCTCCACTGCTTTGGACCATTACCCCTGTCTGCCTCAGACCTTCACACATGGACTTCAACAAAAGACTCATTGTTACCTGGATGGTGGCTCTACTGCCAGGTAAGGAAGGCTGGAGAGAGAGAAAAAAAGAAAGAAAGAAAGAAAGAAAGAAACTAAGAGAAAGACATAGTTCTCCTTCAGCCTAAAAGAATAATTTTCCAATGGTTTATAGCTGAAATAATGAGACCTGCGAGCAGAGAATTGCTGGCAGATAGCGAGAGACAGGCTGTTCTGATTATACAGGGCTTCCTATAGAGACGGTATTATACACTCAGCCAAGGTCCACATCAAAGTAAAACTTTCCTGAAGTTAATATAAGCCTCTCGCTCTCAGTCTGTTAAATAGTTGGAGTGGAAAGTAGTGTGTGTGTGTGTGTGTGTGTGTGGGGTATCTAAAGTGGACTAATCACTGAACTAGGTTTAGGTCTGAATGGCAAACTCCACAGACCGCCCCCCCACCCTCAACCTTGGTGCTAAAGGGCTGTGTATATCTGTCGATGTGGCTGCTTGCTTGTATTGCTTGTATGTTCCAGCGAGCAAGAGGTTGCAGCCTTACATGCAGGAGTTAGGTTCGGAGGGATCTTTATAAGGAAACAGCTCTCGCTCTGTCTTGCTCGCTCGCTTAACCTGGCGACTAATAAAACAGGAAGCTCCAACCTGGGCCATTGAGGTTTATTTGCCCACAGGTCTCACGTTGCTAAGTCAGCGATCGGTGCCAAGGCTGGGTGGGTGGGGGGGGAGTGGAATCGCTCCCCACTTTCATTGAAATGAACACAAATAACTTCACCCACAAAATACACAGTTAATCCACTTTACAGTATATTCTGTAAAGTGCTTTGAGACGTCTCAACAATGTGATAAGACGCTGTATCAAATACAAGGATTATTATTATCTTTCGGATGCATTCAGGAGGGAGTTTCAGAATGGGGTCACTGGGAACTGGAGACCCTCCCACTCTCTGAGGTTTTGGGGATCGATTCAAAATAACCTAGCAAAATTCGGGTCTAATATACGGTGTTTACTTACCAGATTTCTCGATAGGAAAATGGGTTCAATGTATTGAATCTCAGCAATTTGTGATGATTGTGTATTTCACTGCGGGCTTCTGAATAGGAATAAAATAAAATGATTTAATTTTCATGACTTGAAATGCTCTAAAGCATGTATAAACAATGGGGTTTATTATGTGGCCACGTGCAAATAATGCGTGTGCATATCATTTAAACCACATGTAACTGTGTGTGCACAGAGGTATCCTTCATTATGTGATTAAAAAACAATGAACAGGAATTAACAAGCAGCGGATGTTAATTGTATAATGGAGGACACCTGCAATTCCCTCTGTGCACAGGCTCTTATCCGTAGTTTACACGTGCCGCATAATAGCCGTATGTTTGCACTTGGTTTACACATGCCACGTAATACCTCTGTGTTTACGTGTGTGTGTGTGTCTGTGTGTGTGCATATGGTGAGTGTCTGTGTGTGTGAGTGATTATGTGTGTGTGTGTATATAGTGTGAAGTTAGGATCAGGTTGAGGTCTGAAGCTCTCCCCTACAGCTGGAGAAGCTGGTTGTCCTAACATGAAGGAATTGCTATTTAATTGGGATAGCGGATGGGAAATGCCACCCGAGGAAAACGAGGGAGGCCGGACCCATTCACGGAACGGCTTGATGCTGTGATGACCAAAAGCCCTTCTTTACCCAAACCTCTCTTGTGCTGTTGTAGTCCAGCAAGAGTTAAAATCCTTCGAAACCCTTTCACCCCCACAATGTTATTACTGCTCCCCCAGCACCCCCCCACCCCCATGGGCTCTTGCATTGGATGATGTCATGGGTTGGTTGGCCCATAATCCAACATGGCAGCCACTTGGCCAATGACATCATCAGTTTGGAGCCATATCAGGAATTTGGGGTTTGGGGGGGATTTTAAACCTTCCGAACAATGACATTTTTCCATTAATTGTCGGTGTTTTTAAAGATTCGGTGGCAACTTTACTGAGTGTGTGGGTTCCAGGAGTTTCCATTCATAGAGTGAAAAAATGCGCTTTAATTTAAACTATCCTCAAAAGATCTCCCGAAAAATGAACCCTGGCAACTCCTCAAAAACAATAGCTGCATTCCTCGTTCCATGTGTGAGCTTAACTCAAAAGCTTTCATTTTGTTTTTTATTGAACGATTTACGATTCGAATTCCTTTCCATTCATTAGCGTTCTTGCCTCGTTCCCCCACATTGAGGAATTCGAGCACACAGTTCGAGCGGACTCTCAGTGCAAAGTGCTGGGACCGGTGGGCGGTGGGGGGGATGGGGGGAGAAGAGGAGCTGAATTTCCAGAGGTGACATCTCTTCGGATGAGACTTTAACCCGAGATCCCAGTCTGTGCCTGTTCATGTGGACATTAACATTTGTGGAGTCCCGTAGAGTAGTAGTTAGAGCGCTCGCCTCGCAAACGAGAGGACCCGGGTTTGATTCCCCGGCAAGGCAAAACCTTAGGCAAGTTTCCTTACTCCACACACATGCCTCCTCTATAAATCAAGTGCAAGGAATATTATTATATTATTAGTATTATATTACCTTTGAGTGCCTTTGAGTTCAGACCACACACACACACTCGGACCTCTGGCCAGGCGACACCTGGAGTTTCCCATCCATTGCTGGTCACCGTGACATCATGATGCTCGAAGAGACAGAGCAACGAGACTGCTTTTCTCTGTGTTAAAATAACCATCATAACCCTCGCATGTGATATGGAGGATGTCTCTAAGCACTTCCCAGGATTTACTGTACAGTGAGGTGATTGTGACTATTGTGGGCGAATGCGGCAGCCAATTTTGCACTCAGCATGTCCCGCAAACAGCAGCTCCCTGGGACATCCTTTTTACGTGAAAGCCCTATGTAAATGTAATTTGTTGTTGCTGTTGTGGTTATCTGGGGGAATTGTCGGCCAGGTTGCCGGGAGAGAGAAATCCTCTTCTCTTTATCAAATAATGTCGTAGGAGATCTTTAACGTCTTCACTTGAACAGGTACAGACGGGGAGCTCAGGTTTAACGTCTCATCCGAGGGATGAAGGATCAGCTGTGAGGAACGACAAAATAGACTGAAACTCTTAAGCCTATAAAGGATGTGTTTCAGATCTGACCTTGTGGAGATATATTAATTGGTAAATGGGATTGCGAAATTAAACCCACAACTCTACTTTCAAACCGGTCAAGTTTCACTCCTACAAAAAAAATGGAAAATATCTTTCTGTTTCTTACCAGCTACTGCGGGAGAGTAACGGAGGCTGGGAGTAACTGTCTTGGGAAATATAATAATAATAACAATCGTTGCATTTGACACAGCGCCTTATCACATCGTTGAGACGTCTCACTGTGTATTTTGTCCCACAAACAGTCGTGGATTGGGTGACCAAGTTACTATTGTATTTTTCTGGAGGTATTATTATCCCTGGAAAGCGATCTGCCAATCAACTAACAATCGGGTTCCTACTCACTGTGAGGTAAACAGAGGCGTGCGGAGTAAGGAAACTTGCCTAAGGTTTCTTCTCCATTCGGGAATCGAACCCTGGTCCTCTTGCTTGCGAGGCGAGCGCACTAACCACTACAGTACGGGAAATGATAGTGATTTATGGAGTTATAAGTAAGATACAAGGGGATGGAGGCTGGTAAGCGCAGTGCCATTAGGTTTAAGTGAGACGATAGGTCTGTGCGAAGAAACGAGCAGCAAAAGCTGCCTGGTGTTGGCTGAGTATTTGTTTGTAGAATTCGGATTTGGCATCCAAGTTCTAATTCCTCGGTCAGAATCCAGACCCCAACAGACTAACTGTGTCCTTCAGTGAGCCTCAAACCCTCTGGCTTCAGGGAGCAGTTGCCTGGCTCCTCTGTTTAGGAATAAAGCAATAAAGTGCGATTGGAGGAAGGAGAGAGAGAGAGAGATGATTATTTTTACCCAGGGTATCTTTATTTCTTTTTACTTTCCAAACACGGTTGGCCGTTTTGCAGACAGACAGACAGACAGAGTGAGCAAGGTTGGACCTGAGTGTTTTTTCCTACTGAAAATCACAGGTTCTGGCCAACCTCCTGCGTTCCAGGAAACCTCACAGAGAATTATATTCACCATAAATCTTATCTCTTTTCCTCGTTCTCGCTATGTGTTAATAACTTCACTGAAACCTGAGTCCTTTCCTTTCTCTCTCTCTTTCTCTCTCTCTCTCTCTCTCTCTCTCTCCCCTTCCCGGCAGCAAATAATAGGTCTTTCAGGCTGACTGTGCCGTCTGCAATCTGCAGTGGTGTATTAGCACCTCTGAGGAGATATGAACAAAGGCAACTGTGTTCCTCTCACTCGCCACGTACAAACTAGGGGCCCAATCTTCATCCAAATCTGATGATTTGGATCCAGCGCTTTGGGACGTCCTCCCGACGTGAAAGGCGCTCCATAAATGTAATTTTGTTGTTGTTGTTGATGCCTTTATTGCCCGGCTGCCGGCTCCACTCGCCAAGAGAAGGGGTGACACACAATCTAAGGCTCTTATATTCATTTCCTCGTACCCCCCCACCTCAGCCCCCTCTAACCCCCCCCTCTCATCTCGGTCATCTTCCTATGCATGATGCCCTTGCCTGTCCCGAGGCCTAACACCCAGGTTCACAGCCTTTTCACATCCAGAGGGTCATAACCTAATCCTAACTCCACATCATGGCCCACCCCCAGGCTTTATGGCCTACTCCAAGCACTTTGGGATGTCCTCCTGATGTGTCAAGCATTACAATAGCTACAACAACTTGTATTTATATAGCTCTCCTCACGCAGGATAGCGTCCCAGAGCGCTTGACAGTGGCGGAGCACGACACTGAGCTGGGGGCAGTTGACCATAGGCACAATCGAAGAGGAAGGTCTTCAGTTGCTACCTGAAGATGGGGAACCAAGGGGCAAGGTGCAGGGATAGAGGAAGAGTGTTCCAGAGTTTCGGAGCAATTATTATTATTAATTACGTTTATATAAATTTGTACTGTGTTGTACTCCCAGCTTCCCAGTGGGTCACCTGCTTTTTTTTACCAGAGAGAGAAAGAGAGAGAGGTTTAACCTCATGACCATCTCACTCAGTACTGAACACTTCTTGGGTACTTGGTGCTAAGCCCAGAGGAAATCTATTGTGCAAACATTCTGTTACTGTTTGTGGTAGACTGAGACATCAACCAATCTTGTCGGTCATCTGTGAGGCTGTTGGGCTGATCTCAGTGGCAGTTGTTTGTGCTATGTTCCTTCATCAATGACTTTTGCAGGAAGGATTGTTTGGGAACAAAGAATTTGCTGGTCGCAGAATACAACACCAAAAACAACAAATTGCATTTATACAGCGCCTTGCACGTTGGGAGGACATCCCAATGTGCTGGATAGTTAAGGGTTTGTACACAAACTTTAGGTTGGACTCAGGAGGGGTGGAGGTCAGGGAGTTTAGAGGTGGGAGTGTGGCCAAAGGCACGGTCAAAGAGGAAGGTCTTGAGACGGGCCTTGAAGGAGGAGAGGGAGCGAGTGAGGCGGAGGGATTCGGGGAAAGAGTTCCAGAGGGTGGGGGTGGGGGTGGGGCTAGAAAACAGAAAACAACAATAACAACTTGCAATTATACAGCGTCCTTTCTGTAGAATAACTTCTCAGAATGCTTTACAAAGACGGGATCAGGCAGAGAGCGAGGGAAAAGCGGAAGGAGTGAAAGGGGAGATGACCATAGTAGGCTGTAGTAGGCAGTGAACCTCAATGTTGTGTGTTCCTTCCCCCACAGGGCTCTGCAGTTCGTTCAACATTGACACAAAGAGGCCCAAGATCATCCGTGGCTCCTCGGAGGCCCAGTTTGGCTACACTGTGCAACAGCACGAAGCCAATGGGCAGAAATGGTAAGAGCGGTGGCTGGGCAATGTGGTGTGGTGCTGTGCTGCAGGGCAGAGGGGTGTGAGAGGCCAGTAAGGCCACCGTCGCTGGGGTAATAGACACCAGGGGGTCAAGTTGAGATGTTCAACTTAGCTCCCGACTGCCAGTCCAAGAAGATGTTAAAATGATGCAGCTGAATAGATGAAGGCAGCTTGTATCTTTGTCCCAGACAACATTCCTCCAGAAAACATCAGTCATTCACCTCCTGTCTGTTTGTGGGATGTTGCTGTGCGCAAATTGGCTGCTGCGTTCATTTACAAACACAGGCTCTGGAGTTTAGCAGCACTCCCACACACCCCCCCACACCCACATTATCCCAGAACTGTCCGTGAGGGTCAGCCTGGACTGTGAGCTCAAACCCTTGACATTGGCTCAAACCCATTGAGTGTGAGTGACCGAGCCGAGCTCAGTGTTTCTCACTTATCTGTCTCTCTCTCTCAGTCTCTTTCTCCCTCACACTTCCCCTCTCTCTCTCTCATTCTCCCCCTCTCTCTCTCACGTTTCCCCCCCCCCTCTCTCTCACACTCTCAAAATGTTCTCTCTGTCAAATATTGATCAATGGTTCTGAGAAGAGAGGTATTTCGCCCTCGGGCTTATATTATAGATTTCCTTTTAATATTTTCCAATCTGAAACCTTTAGGACATTCCATTCCGTAATGGTTGTAGAGTTTTCTCCAGGAATCCCAATTCCTGACTCCACTCCAAAATTCCCCAAGTCTGCTTCACCGGTAGTGATGCCAACCCTTTAACCCTTGAGCAGTCGCCTCGCCAGCGAGAGGATCTGGGTTCGATTCCCGGCCAGGGCGAAATGTTGGGCAAGTAGGAACCCCAGTTGTTAGTCGATTGACATGGATTGCTTTCGTGGGGGTAATAATACTTTAAAAAATAATAATAATTTGGTCACTCAATCCTGTTTGTGGGGACGCTGCTGTGCGCAATTGGCTGCCGTGTTTCACCCACAAAATATACAGTCAATTCACTTTACAATATATTCTGTGAAGCACTTTGAGACATCTCGAAAACGTGATGAGGCGCTATATCAAATGCAAGGGTTATTACTGTTAACTCTTTAACCCCAACACCTCCCTGCATTTTTGTGACCGAGGTGTTTCCCACATTTTGGGGTGCAATTTACAGCATGAGGAAGAATCTGACCAGAATTCCCTTCACCCCCTCTGGAACACCGCACCAGGAGTAGATAGGGTCGCAGTTCCTGTTGTATAATTAACCTATAAGGCTGTACCTAGTGTGTGTGTGTGTTGGTGGGGCGGGGGTGTGTGAGTGATGTGTTAACACTTGGCCCAATCTGCGCTGTCTGATTGGAAGCAGATGAGTGGGGAATCTGGCCAGCGTGGAGTCTCACGAACAGGTCAAAATCCACCTAAACCCCAGAGATTGATCTTTCCTCCCAATACTTGATTTAGGGTCTTATCACTCCTCTTTCCAACCCACAAACAGTCGTAGATTGGGTGACCAAATTGCTTTTTTGGGGGAGGGATTATGATCCCCAGAAACTGATCCGCCAATATACTAACAACTGGGTTCCTACTTACCGGTTCCTACTTACTGCTGGGAAACAGAGGCGTGTGGAATAAGGAAACTTACTTAAGATTCCGCCCAGAAATCAAAACCAGGTCCTCTCGCTTGCCAGGCAAGTGCTCTAACCCCTGCGCTATGGGACTGTACTGTACAGGTGGAACAGAAACTAAGGAGATCCAGGCTGAGGTCCATCATGTGTTGAGACAATCCGTTATCTCGTCCAGACACTGAACACTGAACACATTGAGACCATGGCTGAGCAAAGCCACTGATGTTCACAATGTATTGTGTAAATTTAGTCTTTAAACCCTGTAACCGTCTCGGCGTTCAAAGAGGGAATAGCTGGTGAGTTTTGTGGGTGTTCTGAGCGGAACGAGGTTTCTCTGTTAAAACAAAACAAAATAAAAATTCAATGTGTTTTGTGTTACAAACACTGAGTTCCTATTTCCAGTAAACTCACAGACCAACATCATCTGTCTCGCTTGGCACGGCTGGACAGAGAAGTAAATTCTTACAGATGAAGGGAACAAGATGCATTGGCCCTAACCGCACAGTTTATAAAGGGCTTTAATCCGCCAGGTTTATAACTCTCGCTTTTTATCCTGGTATCATCCTGGATGTCATTACTTCAAATCCACACGCAACTCCTTCAGTCGAGACATTAAATTGAGGTCCTGTCTGCCTGCTAAGATCTGTGACACTATTTTGAAAAGAGACAGGTGTCCGGTATCCTATCATTAATAGCAATAATAATCCTTGTATTGGATATGGTGCCTTTCACATCAGGAGGACATCGCAAAGCGCTTTGCAGGATATATACCGTAAAGTGTAGTGACTGCGTGTTTTGTGGGCAAACAAGGCAGCCAATTTGTGCACAGCAACGTTCCACGAACAGCCATGAAGTGAGTGACCAATTTTATCTGGGGGATTGTCAGCTAGGACACCGGGAGAGAGAGAAACTCCCTTTGGTCACTCAAAGCCATGACTGTTTGTGGGGACGCTGCTGTGTGCAATTGGCTGCCGTGTTTCGTCCATAAATTATACAGTCATTTCAGTTTACCGTATATTCCGTGATGCGCTTTGAGACGGCTCAAAGACGTCATAAGGCGCCATGTCAAACGCAAGGATTATTACTGTTTATTCTCTTTTCGAATACTTCCACGGGATCTTTACCTGAACAGGCAGACGGGACCTTGGTTTAAAGTCTCAACCGAAGAACAGCACCTCTGACAGTGCAGCGCTCCCACCAGCTCTGCATTGGAGTGTCAGCTTAAATTATATGAGTTCCAAAGTCTTGATGTGGAGCTTGAACCCACAACCTTCTTGACTTAAGAGACAAGAGCTACCTTGTGAGCCAGACTGACATATTAAAGTTACTTCATGGCTGTTTGTGGGAAGCTTCCAAAAAAAAACACAATCACTCTACTTGACTGCGCTTCAAGGCATTTTGACGTTGGCGACAAAGAGTTAAGAATATCCTGGTGGATGTTTATATAAAGAAAATGCAAATAGAGGTTTATTGAACTACTGTGGTGGCAGATGATTTCATCCAGCCCTCGTCTCACTAACTGCTTTGCTGCCAACACACACTGTGCTCGATACAGAGACTGCGAAGCAGTTCTGCCTTTGTTTCTGTTTACCAGTCGCTTCCTGGAGACGCTAAATCTTAATCCCATCTAACATTATCTTCAATAAAATAAACTGCTCTAACCACCCGCCCCCACCCCCGCCCCGCCCGAGGAAAAGCATCTGGCGCCTATTTTCTATGAAGGTTTGCCTTGCGATGTTGGGCTGACTGCCTCTGTTATTTTGCCCGCCCCATTTCTGCCTCTATCTCTCTTTCCCTTCATTCCCCCCCTCACCCCCACCCCCACCACCACCACCTCGCCCTGCCTCTCTCCCCCCTCATGCTGGGTCACGCTCCCCGGTGGCACCTCTGAAAATGCAGCCCCCTCACAAAGTATTGTACTGAAGCATCAGTTCAGAGTTAAGTCACATCACATCGCCTCACTATTCCTCACGCCCAGCTCCCGACAAGCTCCACTCCAGGCGTCAGTCTCTGACACCTTCCTCTCCCTCGGCTCGATGACAGACTCCGCCACTGTGAAGCGCTGTGGGACTTGCGCTAAATAAATGCAAGTTGTTGTTGTTGAAGTTGGGGTTATATTAAATGGCGACTTTGGAAGAGATCTGGGGAAGTCGGGAGGTGGGGGGGTGAGAGTGGGGAGGGCAAGATATTGGCAGCAGAATTCTTCTTCCCCTCAATAAAAGGAAAGCTGGAGTCAAAGGACTTATGAGGATGGGAGGAAATGGGAAAGAATAATAATTCTTATTATTGTTGTATTATGTGTATCAGCTTGGCTCAGCGGTAGCACTCTCACCTCTGAGTCAGAACGTTGTGGGTTCAAACGCCACATGGGGATTTGGAATCACATAGTCTAAGCTGATATTCCAGTGCAGTGCTGGGTGTGTGTATGTGGGGGGGGGGGGGGGGTTTCGTTGTTGGATGTGCTGTCATTCGGATGAGATGTTAAACCGAGGTCCCGCCTGCCCGTTCAGGTGGACATTAAAAAGTCTCACGGCAATCTTTCTATACGGAAAGAGAAGGGAGTTTCTCTCTCGGTGTCCTGGCCAACAATCTCCCAAATAAATTTCAGTGGAGTCCTGTAGCTCAGTGGTTAGAGCACTCGCTTTGCGAGCGAGAGACCTGAGTTCAATTCCAGGCAGAGGGCGAAACCTTGGGCAAGTTTCCTTACTCCACACAGAGCCTAATAATAATCCCTCCAAAAAACCAAAAACAATAATAAATTGGTCATTTTCAATCTGCGACTGTTTGTGGGACATTGCTGTGCGCAATTGGCTGCCGCGTTCGCCCACAAATATACAGTCAATTCACTTTACAGTGTGTTCCGTGAAGCGCTTTGGGACGTCCTCCCGACGTGAAAAGCGCTATATCAAATGCAAGGATTATTATTATTATAAATTTCATCATTCACTCCATGACTGTTTGTGGGACACTGATGTGCGCAAACTGGCTGCTGCATTTGCCTATAAATACACAGTCACTACACTTTACAGTAAATCCTGTGAAGCACTTTGAGACGTCCTTCCGATGTGATAAGGCGCTATATTGAAAGCAATGTTTATTATTTATAACAATCCTCACATTTGATCCAGCACCTTTCACATCGGAACAACATGTCTCAATGCCCTTTCCAGGATTTCACTGTAAAGTGTAGTGACTGTGTGTTTTGTCGGCAAAAGAAGCGGGGAAGGAATCAATTCCCGGGCTGAGGACAGTTGGAACAAAAGGAATGTGATTCCAAATCCCTGTTGGGAAAGATCTTTGGATTTAGCTGTAATAACTTTTCGTCTAGGTTTGAAGGAGCGGGTTGCTGAGCGGGCGATCGAACACATTGTTGGGCTCTGTCTCTCCAAATAGTTTCCACTCCACTCGAGTCGGTTCAAAGGCAGCCAACTCTGAAATAATATTTTTTTGAGAAAAAATATGATGGATGTACATTCAAGAAAAGCATCCTGCGTCTCAGCTGTATAAATAACCTCCCATTCCCCCACCCACCACCCCCACCCACACACCCCTCGCCGGGGAATAACCTTATACAGAAATTTGCCATTGACTGAGTAGCTTGCTTGCTAAGATAATGAGGGTCTAATTTTGTTGTGTTTCTTAACGGGTTTGTAATAAAGAAATCCCAGTCGGGCTGGAATCACCTTACTGTCATCGCTTTGTGCAGCGTTCCCAGGTGTTGGCTGATTGACGGATCACTTACCGGGGGTAATAATCCCTTCAAAAGAAATTTGGAGTCCTGTAGCTCAGTGGTTAGAGCACTCGCTTTGCAAGCGAGAGACCTGAGTTCAATTCCAGGCAGAGGGTGAAACCTTGGGCAAGTTTCCTTACTCCACACAGAGCCTAATAATAATCCCTCCAAAACCAAAAACAATAATAAATTGGTCATTTTCAATCTACGACTGTTTGTGGGACATTGCTGCGAGCAATTGGCTGCCGCGTTCGCCCACAAATATACAGTCAATTCACTTTACAGTGTGTTCTGTGAAGCGCTTTGGGACGTTCTCTCGACGTGAAAAGCGCTATATCAAATGCAAGGATTATTATTATTATTATTATTATTTACTTACTCAATTCCACGACTGTTTGTGGGACACTGCTGTGAGCAATTGGCTGCTGCGTTTTGCCCCCAAATCACACGGTCACTCCACTTTACAGTACATCCTGTGAAGCGCTTTGAGACGTCTCAATGTGAATAAGGCCCTACATCAAATATAAGGATTATTATTTTGTTATTAATGTTATGATTCCCGCTCTCCTCAGGCTTCTGGTCGGTGCCCCATGGGACGGACCGGGGAAGAAGAAGACGGGCGATGTGTACCGGTGTCCGGTGAGAAACCAGACCAGTTTTGGCTGCGGGAAACTCAACCTAGGTACAGTCCGTGCCATTTGTCTGCTCAATTTATTGCAAAGACATGAACTGTCAGCCTTTCTCCTTTGGAAGCACAATAGTGACTTCTCTTCATTTGATACAGTTCCTATAAATATCCTCAAATGGTTTCACGGGGAATCATTTTCGAGTGTAGTGACCCTGTATTTTATAGGCAAATGCGGAAGCCAATTTTTCGCAAAGAAACATCCTACAAAAGTGCAGCATACAGTTTGGGACATGACATGCGCAAGTGACTGCCAGGGTGGTGGAAAGCGAACTGGATGGACCTTGGTCTTCTTTCATCCAACAATTCTTATGTTCTGAAAGCACCGTGAAGTGAATGGTTTATTTATGTGGGGGATTGTCAGCCAAGACACCAGGAGAGAGAAATTTCTTTCCCATTTCCGAGAGGGTTGGTAAGGTCCACTCGAACAGGCACAGATGGGGCCTGGGTTTAATAGAGGAGGAGCCAGCGAGGGTCTTAAGCCTGTGAGGGTGAGGGTGTGTGCAGATGGCTCAGTTCAGCCACCCAGAGAGCAGCTCATGTTATTGTGAGCCAAGCTCCTGAAATCCCTCCCGTCTCTGATAGCTACACGCAAACACAGATGCTGGGGACAGAGCCAGGGAAACAATCTCACCGCAGATGAAAGACATTCACTTGGCATGTTCTACCCCTGTACAGAGCTCCGCAATCCTCCATCGGTAAAGCCACAGAGCGGCTCCCACTCCTTATATCTATCTGTCCTTAAATTGGGCCTTAGGACCTATCTCAGTTGTTGTCATTCAAGCTCTACATCAGAGCTTTGAGCTCACAGTCCAGGCTGATGCTCCAGTGCAGTGCTGGGGGAGGTACGTCCTTTCGAAGAGACCTTAAACCCACCTCCCCCGTCTGTGTCTGTTCAGGTTTATGTTAAAGATCCCCTGGCACTAATCAAACAGAGAATGGAGTTTCTCTCTCTCGTCCTCTCTTCTTTCTCTCTCTCTCTCTCTCTCTTGCCAACAATCCCCCAGATAACAACATCAACAGCACATTTATAAAGCTCCTTTCACATCGGAAGGACGTCCCCTAATCGATTCGCTTAATGGCTGACAAATCGCCAGTCGCATCTGCTGACAGAACACAGTCACTAGACTTGACATCAACCACCAGGGAAGTGTTTTGAGATGTTTGAGTGTTCTGGCTCAGGTAGTGAGTGCGAGGATTATTGTTACGATCACTGTTGAGCAGCAGATTGAGCTGAGGGTGTTTTGTTTCTTGTTTACATCAGGAAGAGTATCGCTACCCTTTGTGTCTGAGCACAAGGATGACATGAGGCTTGGCATGACTTTAACCAGCAATCCTGAGGACAACAGTTTTGTGGTGAGCTATTAAAGTGATGCATTAGTCATCCCAGTGAACTGCACATTTACAAAGCAAAGCAATGTGGGGACAGTTTGCCAGCTATTAATAGCACTATTTATGAAGTGATTTTATGCCCTGTGTTCTCCTTATATCGGGGGTGAATGGCTATGATTTTAACATGTGTAAACACCCTGATTCTAACAGTGCGGGTGCTTTCAGTCACAGTGTAACACCCGCAGAGTGTTGGGGTGGGAGAGCGGGGAGTTGGGCAGTGGAAAATCACAATTGACTCTTCTCATCCCCCCCTTCCCCTAAGGTTTGATGAGGTGACTGTTATTGCAATCCTGGGATCCCGTATGGTAATGATATTCCCCAAATCCCGGGATGGCAACCCATGAGTTTGGACATTGCTAAATGGGTTGTCCCAAAAATTGGTCTACAAACTCACAGTCACAATACTCCTTACTATTTGCCTTCTCTCTCTCTCTCTCTTTCTCTCTCACACACACAGACCTGCGGCCCGCTCTGGTCTCACGAGTGTGGGAGTTCCTACTACAGCACCGGCCTCTGCTGCAAGATCAGCTCCAACTTCAAGAGTGCCCGTGCCTTCGCTCCCGCCATCCAGCGTACGTCAGTCACCCCGTCTCTCCCTCCGCACGCTCGCGAGTCTGCTTCCAAACCGCCGAGGAACCAGGGGGCAAGTGGTGGGGGTGGGGGGGCAGGCAGGGGGTCAGGGACTGAGATGGGAGGTGGGGAGGGGGATAGTTTTAGAGCAGTCACCATGGGAGGTCTTCTGGCGTCACCTGAAGATGGGGAAGGAGGGGGCACAGCGGAGAGATTGAGGGAGGGGGTTCCAGAGTTTTGGGGTGCAGTGGCTGAGTTAAGTGTAAAGAGTTAAGATCAGGCTTTAGTTTAAGGAGCTTACACTGTGCGAGGGGGTAAACGTGAGGTTGGAGTGACGCTGTTTCTCTGGCTTGTTCCCCGACGCAGGGTGTGAGACTTACATGGACATTGTGATAGTCCTGGACGGTTCCAACAGCATCTACCCCTGGTACGAGGTGCAGACCTTCCTCATCAGCATCCTCAAGAAATTCTACATTGGACCAGGCCAGATCCGGGTGAGCTCTGTGGAGAGATTCCTGTTTCCTGTCCTGACACCGTGGACACTTCCCCTCAGGCCACAGCAGAACATTTCCCCGCGCGAAATATACAGTCACTACACTTAATAATAATGTATATTTTGTATATTAATGTGTATAAAAATACAGTATATTTTATGAAAAAAATTGGTTGCTGTGTTCACCCACAAACGGGAGGGTAATTTATGTATTTGATGTGTTCCACAATAATTTAATTTACTTTGCATTATTATTCAGTAATAATTTACAGAATCATTTAAATTATTTTGTGTTATTATATTCCATAATAATAATTCATTCGTTTTGTATCTCATCCCTCTGCCACCCTCACCCTCTCTCACCCTCACCCTCTGCCCTCACCCTCTGCCACCTTCACCCTCTCTCACCCTCACCCTCCTACCCCCTGACCCCCTGGTTTTGCTCCCCCTGTAGCTGGGGATTGTACAGTACGGGGAGACTGCTGTGCACGAGTTTGAGCTGCGGGATTACACGTCTGTGTCTGGCGTGGTGAAAGCCGCCAGGAGCATTGAGCAGCGCGGAGGCACCGAGACCAACACTGCACATGGCATCGAAATAGCTCGGTAACGTGTACATGGGAACAGGTGGAGGCCATTCAGCCCCTCGAGCATGTTCCGCCATTCTGTTAGATCACAGCTGATCTGTACCTCAACTCCCTTTACCAGCCTTTGCTCCATAATCCCTTGATCCCCTGCCTCACAGACATCTATCTACTCAGTCTTGAAAATGCTGCACATGTGATGTGAGGGAGTCAGTCACTGGAGAAGGGATTCTTGCCACTTTGGGGTTGGTCTAATGGATCGCTGCTCCCCCCCCACCCCCAAACACACACATACCGATGAGCAGGGATGGTTTAGGTTAATGTTACTCTGACCACAGGCCTCCCAGACTTGCACCACCACTGCTGGCCTTGCAGATATTTGGTGATCTCATAACCGCCGCTCACAATGTGGTATTTGTTTGACCATTTTCCTGTTATTATTGGAGCAAGTGTGTCTCTCCCGGTGTCCTGGCCGACAATCCCTCCCGATAAAATCCCTCATTTCACTCACTTTATGGCCGTTTATGCACAAACTGGCTGCCCCGTTCGCCTATGAAACATGCAGTCACTACACTTTACAGTGAATCCTGTGAAGCGCTTTGAGACGTCCTCCTAACGTGAAAGGTGCCGTATCGAATGCAAGGAATATTGTACTGTGCGCTCTGATACACCGCCCCGCGTGAAGGGCGCTAAATCAATGCAATGGTTGTACTGTGACTGAGCACCGTTGACGTTTCTCACTCTCTCTGGGTTTCAGCTCTGAGGCCTTCAGCACCAGTCGGGGAGCGAGGGAGGGAGCCAAGAAAGTGATGATTGTGATCACGGATGGGGAATCCCATGACAGCCCCCACCTGAAGAAAGTGATCGAGAACAGTGAGAGGGACAACATCACCAGATACTCCATCGCGGTAGGTATGGGGAGGCGGGCAGAGAGGGGCTCAAGCACGATGCCAGCACACTCTTAAGACGCCCACCAAATACACAGTCACTCCACTTTACAGTATATCCTGTTAAGCGCTTTGAAACGTCTCAACGATATCATAAGGCACTTAGGATTATTATTATTATTATAACGGTGGTTACTGAGGCTTGGGCCCACAGCTAGTCATTTCAGATGAAACAGAGAGTGAGAGAGAGAGAAGTCAGCGCTGGTTAGAGTAACATTACAAAAAACTTTGCATCGGATACAGCGTCTTTCACATCAAGAGGACGTTTCAAAGCGCGCCCCAGAGTTTGCTGTGAACTGTAGTGACTGTGTGTTTGTCTCCCCGCCAGGTGCTGGGGTACTATAACAGGAGAGGTATAAACCCCACCCACTTCCTGAAGGAGATCAAGTCGATCGCCAGCGAGCCCTGGGACAAGCACTTCTTCAACGTCTCAGACGAGGCCGCCCTGAAAGATATTGTGGACGCGCTCGGAGCCAGGATCTTCAGCCTGGAAGGTAACAGAGTCTGTGGAATGCTTGTCACGTGCCCCCCCCCCACCCTACACACATGGAGCGCCGACCCTGGGCACGACGAACACTCTCGCCCCCACCCCCCCGAATCGCACCTTTAACGTTCTCAAAGGTTCACGTCCAATTGATTGTAAATCTATTCTCATTCATGGGGTCCCTTAGCTGAGTGGTTACCGGTCTCGCCCCGCAAGCGAGGGAACCCAGGTTCAATTCCTATTATTATTATTATATTACTTTATTTTTCCAGGAACCAATGTGCAGAACGAAACCTCCTTTCAGCTGGAGATGTCACAAGCCGGATTTTCAACTCACGTGGTCGAGGTGAGATGTGCTTAATTCCTTAAACAAATGTCTCCACTCATTCAAGTCTCGAGAGGAGAGGTAGTGTAGGATTATTCCCATTCTCTCCTCCCTCTCCCCAACCCCCACCTGGAGAGAGTAACAATAAGAATAACCTTGCATTTGATACAGGTCTTTATCAAGTGGTTGAGGTGTCTCAAAGCGCTTCACAGGATATACTGTAAAGTGGATTGACTATATTTTGTGGGCGAATAGCAGTAACCAATTGTGCACAGCAGCATCCAACAAACACCCGATCGTGGATTGAGTGACCACATTTCTTTTTGGAGGGATTATTACCCCCGGAAAGTGATCTACCAATCAACTAACAACTGGGTTCCTACTTACTGCTGGATAAACAGAGGCGTGTGTGTGAAATAAGGAAACCTGCCTAAGTTTTGCCCCACCTGGGAATCAATCCTGGGTCCTCTCGCTTGCGAGGTGAGCGCTCTAACCACTACGCTATGGGACTCCACAAGGAAGGAAGGTGTGGGTGTGTGAGAGGGAGAGAAATGGCCATAGAGCAGATGGGACCTAAATTAACGACTCAGCAACATAAAAATCGTGAAACAAAGAACTAATAAACTGACTCAATTAGATGTCCTCGTGGTTTAGCGAAAGCCACAGAGGACAGCTGTACACTGAGAGTCTAACCCACATCAATCCCCACTCAGTAATTAGCGTGTTGCAGAGAGGGCCAGCGCAGTATAATTGATGTAGCAAACGTCGATGGAAAATAAAATTGTTTTGACAATGTTTTGCTTTGGTTTCTTAGCTTCCAGCATTATTATTTTTTATTTGATTTGAGCGGTGAATATCAGAAGCAATTTGATCTGGGATTATCTGTCCTGTGAGCCGTGAGGGCAGAAACAAATCTTAGCAAAACTCATCTCAGCTGCTCCCACTCATTGGAAATCTCTCCCTCAATCCTTCCACCCCACACTCTCTCTCATCGCTTTCTTTCAAAACACCCACATCTTTGACTGCACCTTTGCTTCCCTCCCTTTCCTCCCCCCAACACCCCCAATGCCTTCTCCCTTTCCCCCCTTTTCCTCCATTCAACTTCCATCCTGCCTTCATTACATTTCCATCTCTCTAAAGTGCTTTGAGATGTGTAACTACAACAACAACAACTTACACGTGTATATGTAGTGCACACAGGGTAGCGTCTCAGAGCATTTAAAAACTATTGTACCTACATTTGGAAAAACTGGGGAGAGGGAATGAGAGAGAGACTTTCCTGACATCCGGGAACCCTTTCAAAAAAGTCCACCCTCCCTTCATTCTGTCCTCACCCAAATGCCCTGCAGGGGTTACTGTACTGGCAATCCTCACCACTTCCTCCCTCCCAAAGCCGGATGGGGGTGGTGGGGGTTGGGGTCTGAGTCCTGTTGTAACCACAGCATAGTGGAAATCAGCTAACTCAGCACAGAACTAGGAATCGAGTTACAATCCAAAACTCACTCACTCACTTACCCTGGCTCCTGTTCACTGTTGCAATAACTGTTTCTGGGCCACTTTGCCCATCTCCCTCCCTGACTCCAGTTGACTATCAATCAAGCCTTGACTTCAAGCCAGAGAATTGGCTAACCCGTCTCTCTCGCACTCCCCCAACCTCCATCTCCCTAACACCAGACAATTGATGTTTCTGTTGAAATAAAAGAAGCAGAAAAGAGCAGCTCGTAATCCTCGCATTTGCCTGACTCACGGGCTGGCAAGGAGCCTGAGCAGCTTCTGGTAATCTGGTGCTCACAGCCCAGCACTCCCCTCATGCCAACCCCTCTCAGCCAAACGTTCATGTAGGAAAAAAAATAAACACTTCCACAAATAATGTAAACAATTCCAAACACTGCGATCCACTTCAATCACAAATTTATTATTTTTATTTGTAGATCATCATGTTTCGTATTTATTTTGATTGGGTCATTAATTCTGCTGTTTGGTCTGGCTGCTCAACCATTAAGTTGGATCTGATGATGGGATCTTCTCCCACCTTATTATCCCTTCCCCTCTCGAGTCCAATTTGAGATTGGCTCAATCTAAGTGCCTGAGATCCATGACCTGCTCATTGTAAAACCTTTTGCAAAGCCACTGGCTAGTGTTGTGTTACATCCCCTGGCCCCAGCAAGCTCCAGCTTCGCTTCCAGGTCTCCCTGCATTGCATACCAGCAGATTTGCTCTGGACTCAATCTAGATGTTGAAGGCCTCTGCCTACCCTTAGGATCAACAACAACAACAATATTACATGTGTATAAAGCTCCAAGAACAGTATGACTCCATTCAGCCCATCAAACCTGTTCTGGTCTTTTTATAGCAGATCTTGTAATACCATTTCCTCCATCTTTCCTCAAAAGCCCACAAAATTCCTCACTTCCACAGAGCCTGCCCATCAGAAAGAAATGTGGTCACTCAATCAATCCACGACTGTTTGTGGGACACTGCTGTGCGCAATTGGCTGTCGCGTTTTGCCCACAAAGCACACAATCAATCTTCTTTACGGTATATTCTGTGAAGTGCTTTGAGACGTCACAACAACGTGATAAGGCGCTATATCAAATGCAAGGATTATTATTATTATTATCTCCCTATCAAACCCACCAAATGAGCCACTCTCCCTGGCCCTCTGTGACAGTATGTTTTAGCGCATCACATCCTGGTTGGATTTGGGTTAGTGATCTCTCTGTTTTATCAATCATAACAATTCATTCAATAATGGAATTACGGATTCTGGACATGTTTATTGAGCGTCTGTGCTGACACAGCTGGGAATTTCTGGCAGCGTTGTCCTAGATGGAACGTTGGCCCTGTCTAACCTGTTACACAGTGAGAAGCTCCTGTGTGTGAGTCTCTCTCTCTCTCTCAAAAAATCTTCATCTTCCATCTCGGTCGACCCCTAATGCACCGTTCGAAGGGAAAACCGAAAAGAGAATTGCAAAGTTACATTTTTTTTCTTTCAAACAGGATGTGCTTTGAAGATGGAGAGAGGGGCCGAAAGGCATCTTTAACTTTTAAAAGAATGCATTTGTTTTCATATAAAAAAAGACGAGTTTACCCACAGCATCTGCACAACAGATTCCCCAGGAAGGAGGAAACTACCCTAAAGTACACATTGATTCAGTCCTGAGAGTAATCTGGCACGAAACTGTCCTAATTATTATTGCTGATGTTCAGCAATAATAATGGGGAAATAAGATTGGGGGTTATTGACTCTGAGTCACTCAGTCTACCACCTTCCCACTCCCCCCCTCCCCCCACCCCCCCCCCCCCCCCCCTCCCTCCCCACTCACTCTCCCTTTGTCCAAGGATTTTTTATTGAATTGTTCCACTGGTCAATAATCCTCCTGGAACTTGTTCTACCAAGTTTACATCTGAATACACAGTCACTACACTCTGGCCCTTCGATGGTTCTCAATTGTTTGACTCTTTTGGCACTGGATGAAAAGTGAGGACCTAGTGATAATAATAATAATAATAACATTCCTTGCATTTGATATAGCGCCTTATCACGTCATTGAGACGCCTCAAAGCGCTTCACAGGATATCCTGTAAAGGGGATTGACTGTGTATTTTGTGGGCAAAATGCAGCAGCCAATTGTGGATTAAGTGACCAAATTATTTTTTCAAGGGGGAATCATTACCCGGAAAGTGATCTGCAATTCGAAAAACAACTGGGTTCCTACTTACTGCTGGGTAACCAGAGACGTGTGGTGCAAGGAAATTTGCCTAAGGTTTCACCCCGACCCACCCAGGAATCGAACGCAGGTCCTCTCGCTTGTGAGGCGAGCTCTCTAACCACTACACTCAGGGCCTATTTTGCTTGCAGGACGGGATACTGCTGGGGGCAGTGGGTGCATATGACTGGACGGGCGCGGTGCTGAAGCAGACCAGCCAGGGCCGTGTCATCCCCCCCAAGGACGCCTACGCACAGGAGTTCCCTGAGGAGCTGAAGAACCACGGGGCTTACCTGGGTAAGAGCTGAGCCGAGCGGAGGGTGGGGGACGGGGGGATGGGGAGGATGGGGGACAAGTCCTGATGATCGGGGGAAATCTTTCGAATCCAAACAACAACAACAAATGACATTCACACAAAGGTAGGGAGGAGCAAGGCTCCGGAGGGCTTTGAAATCGCCTCCAACTGCAACCGGGACCTGGTACGTATCGAGACAGGAGGGGGTTAGGACGTGGGGAGATCTTTTAATCCCATTTCCTCCTCCTTTTCTCCATGTTCCCTCACTCTGCCCAAAAGCCCTAAAAATGGTTCCCACAAGACCTAAAGCTGATGAGTCCCCAGAGAGGCCAAAGGGTTAACAATTCACACACACCTGGCTCCATCACTGAGCCTCACTCGGGTATTTTCCTTCCCCAAAAGTACGTTATAAAAAAATCCCGAGCTGTTGTCAAGTGCTCAAAGGAGTGAGGACATGGCAGAGGGATAGCCAAGATCCATTCCCTTTATAATGTTTTCATTCTGTTCCCGTTTTGATTGGAAACATATGATTTGAAAAATGAGTTAAAGGGCGAGGAGGAGGGGGAGTAAAGCTGGACGCAAACCTCTTAAGAGCTGAAATAAGACAAATCCAGACCTTTGAGTTGGTAGAGATGTTTTATCTCATCTCTAGAGCACATCAGCTCAGCAAATGTGAAAAAACGATCGGTTGAGATGAGCCGTCAAAAGCTGTGACATCCATAGAGTCAGGCGAGGTTCTGAAATCCCGGCAGATATTTTAATCCCATTTCCTCCTCCTCCTTTTCTCCACGTCATAATGATGATACATAACGAGCTCTGTGTGTGTGTGTGTGTGCGTGTGTGTGTGTCTGTGTGTGTTTAACAGGCTACACCATTAATTCGGTGACCCTCGCGCCAAAGAGGAGGTGGTATGTGGCCGGAGCGCCCAGGTTCAACCACACGGGGAAGGTGGTGCTGTTTACAATGAAGAACAACGGGAGCGTGACCATCCGGCAGTCACTGAAAGGACAGCAGGTCTGTCTGTGTGTGTCTGTGTGTTTGTGTGTCTGTGCGTCTTTGTGTCTGTGGGTCTGGGTGTGTCTGTGTGTTTGTGTGTCTGTGCGTCTGTGTCTGTCTGTCTGTGTGTCTCCTCGTCTCCTAAACCCCACCACGTGAGGGTGACTGGTCCATTTTGGAAGTAGAGTAATAATAATAATCCTTGCGTTTGATACAGCGCCTTATCACGTCCTCGAGACGTCTCTAATCGCTTCACAGGATATACTGAAAAGTGGATTGACTGTGTATCTTGTGGGCGAAACGCGGCAGCCAATTGCACACATCGGTGTCCCACAAACAGCCGTGGATTGAGTGACCAATTTTTTTTTGAGGGATTATAAACCCTGGAAAGCGATCCACCAATCGACTGACAACTGGGTTAGGTAAACCGAGGCGTGTGCGTGGAATAAGGAAACGTGCCTAAGGTTTCGGCCCGCTCAGGAATCAAAGCCGGGTCCTCTTCATCTGGTCTTGAACACGTAAGCCCCACACTCTGAGGGGAGAGTACGAGCGACTGAGCCAGGCTCACACACACACATCGAGACACAGCCTTAGATCTAACCCAAAATGCACGCTCACATCTGTTGCGTGTGCAACGAAGCATCACACAATAGCGGCCTCGTGTGAACAAACCATGTATGCAGCAAATTACAGGCCTTCTGTTCAAAGCACTGACGGTGGTTTGCAAAAATTTGCTCCGTCTGATGCGGTCTGCCAAATGCCCAACAGGAATAATGTGTCTTACTGTTACTGTCCCAGTGACGGCTCCAGAAATGTGATTATTTTAGAAACTGCTTCCATTTTTAGCTGGCCAAATAAAACCCTCCCATTCTTTCTCAAAAAAAGCCGTCACTGAATTTTCACATAATAATAATAATAATAATCCTTGCATTTGATATAGCGCTTTTCACGTCGGGAGGACATCCCAAAGCGCTTCACAGAACACACTGTAAAGTGAATTGACTGTATATTTGTGGGCGAACGCGGCAGCCAATTGCGCACAGCAATGTCCCACAAACAGTCGTAGATTGAAAATGACCAATTTATTATTGTTTTTGGTTTTGGAGGGAATATTATTAGGCTCTGTGTGGGGTAAGGAAACTTGCCCAAGGTTTCACTACGTTTTCAGAATTATTACTACTTTGCAGTATATTCTATATATATGGCCTGGCCTGCCCTGCCCTGCCCTGGTCTGCCCTGCCCTGTCCTGACCGACAATCCCCCCATTTAAAATCGCTCATTCACCTCGTTCGCGGCTGTTTATGCACAAATTGGCTGCCTGAAAAACAGTCACTATGCTTGACTGTGAGATGCTTTCTGATGTTATAAGCGCAATAAAAAGGCAAGTCCTTCCTCTCTGTGTGCGGACAGGAGCCTGTTCACACCGAATACCACACGGATTATTGATTATCAGCGGCTAATTTAAGGGCCTGGCTTTTCAGATCGGGTCGTACTTTGGAAGTGAAATAAACTCTCTGGATGTGGACGCTGATGGAGTGACGGACATTCTGCTGGTCGGGGCCCCCATGTACTTCAGCAACGGCAGAGAGAAAGGACGGATTTACATCTACGCCCTCAAGAAGGTAATCGGAACGCACACGTGGGGTCAGTCCTCACGTCAGGACTTGAGCTCGCAGTCTGGGCTGTCGCTCCCAGCACAGTGCTGGGGGGAGGCTGCATTGTTGGACTTGCCATCCTTCAGATGAGACATTAAAACCGAGGCCTAACCGTCTATTACCTGATTAGTTGGATGTCAAAGAGCCCTCAGCGCTGTTGGAAAGAGAAGGGAGTTTCTCTCTCCCAGTGGCCTGGCCAGCAATCCCGCCTCAGATAAAGCTATTTATTAACTCTGTGGCTTTGTGGGTCACTGGAGCGAGCGAGAGGTTTCATGACTGTGAGATTGTTGGTCAGAGAAATTGCCTTCTCTTTCACGAGCAGCACCGCGAGATCTTTGACATCCATCCGAACAGCACACACAGGGAACTCGGTTTTACGTCTCGTCCAAAGGACGGCCCATCCCCTGCGAGAATGCAGCACTCCCCCAGCATTGCATTGGAGCGTCAGCTGAGACTGTGGAGGTTACTGCTGGGGGAGTGCGGTTCTGGGTGGGGGGGTGGGGGGCGCGGGGTGTGTCTCGTACGTTTACAGCTTGCTCTGTTTTTTATTTATGTTACTTTCCCAGAATACCTTTGCCTTCGACAACGTTCTGGAAGTTACCGACCGATCCCAGAACTCTCGCTTCGGCTCCGCCATCGCCGCGGTCCCCGATCTCAACCACGACTTCTACAACGACCTGGTGGTGGGGGCGCCGCTGGAGGACGAGAATCGCGGGGTCATCTACGTGTTTCACGGACTCGAAAGAAACATCCAGCGGAACTACAAACAGGTAGCGAGGGATCGGGCGACACTATACACACCCCGCGGAACCACCAACGTTTTTGCGGCACAGAAGAAGGCTGTTTGTCCCATCGTGTCTCCGCCGGCTCCTTTAAGAGCAATCCTTTCAGTCCCTTTTCGCCTTTCGTTTGACACAGCGCCTTATCGCGTCATTGAGACGTCTCAAAGCGCTTCACTGAATATACTGTAAAGTGTAGTGACCGTGTATTTTGTGGGTTAAACACGGCAGCCGATCGCGCACAGCAGTGTCCCACAAACAGTCGTGGATTGAATGACCCCATTTTTTTTTCAAGGGATTATTACCCCCGGAATGCAATCCGCCAATCGACTAACAACCGGGTTCCTACTTACTGCTGGGTAAACAGTGGCGGGTGGAGTAAAGTTTCGCCCCTCCTGGGAATTGAACCTGGGTTCTCTCGCTAACCACGACACTACGGGCTCTATCCAGGTTACAAGGTTGGGGGCACATTGGGCTCTAAGTTGCAGTGAGAGAGAGAGAGAGAGCCCCAGACAAAGCACAGTCTTGAACACATCACTCTATGATCCAAACCAACAAGCATCTGTTTTGGAGGTTTTAGCGACCTCATACTCTAATCCTAAAGTCACTGGAAAAACCACTGGTATTTGTGGTTCATAAGCCAAAAATGTCTGCTTGTAAACAAAACTGCAGATTGCAATGGATCTGCTGTCTAATTGATCCATCTCTATGATCAGAGAGCACGTTAGTATAACAGAGAACGAGGAACAGTGTAACGGTATCTGTCACAGCAACAGCACAGCTGAGAGGAGACCCGACAAAGGGGCTCACAGTTTAGAGGGTTTTTATATGAGTTAAAATGAGGTGAACTGATTTACACCAGCCAGGGAATGAATAACTGAGCAATGAGGGAATCGATTTAAGATCATCACAAACAAAAACCCAGAGAGAGAAGTTACGAGATTTTTTTTTGGATGCAGTTTAAAAAGTCAGGCAGTCAGTCAGTCAGACAGACAGGCAGACAGGCAGTCAATCAGTCAGTCAGTCAGACAGGCAGTCTGTCCCACACAAACACTAAAATTAGGAATGGAAAATCTGACGAAATCCAGTGGTTTGAAGCAGAATCCATGAGAGGTTTTCAAAGGGAATTGGACGAACGGTAGAAAAGGAAAAATGTGAAAGGATGTGTGGCTGGATGCGAGAGGCGCTGTGTCAAATGTAAAGATTGTTATTGTTAGTATTATTATTATCATTATTAGCCTGGCTCAGTGATAGCACTCTCGCCTCGCAGTCAGAATGTTGTGGGTTCATTTCACCCACAAAACATACAGTCACTTCATTTTACAGTACACCCTGTGAAGCGCTTTCAGACGTCTCGATGACATGATAAGGCGCTGTGTCAAATGCAAGGATTACTATATTATTGTTATTATTGTTGTTGCTGTTATTGTTACTCTCAGGTGTGGTGACCAGGATCTATGTCTCTTACAGAGAATCTCGGCGAGGGAGATCGGGCCAGCGATCCTGTATTTTGGCCGCAGTATCCACGGGCAGCTGGACATGAACGATGACGGGCTGGTGGACCTGGCGGTGGGGGCACTGGGCAGAGCCATCCAGCTGTGGTTAGTGTTCGTGTCTCTTCCCCGGCCCCCCCCGCCTCCCTCCACCCCTCCCTCCAGCCTCGCTCACCCACCACCCCGCCAACCCCCCCTCCTCTCCCCTGTCACCTTGCTCTGCTTATGGCTTTCACCTCAAGCTCTACATGTGCCCAACCACACCACACCCCATCCCCCCTCCCTCTCCCCCCCCCCCCACCCACTGCTACATAACACATGTGTGTCAGCCTGGCTCAGTCAGTCCTGCCCTCCCCTTCAGGTTAGCAGCAACAGGTCTGTACATAGGAACGTAGGAGCAGGAGCAGGCCATTCAGCCCCTCGAGCCAGTTCCACCATTCTATTAGTTCATGGCTGATCTGTACCTCAACTCTATTTACAAAAGACACCAATTGCTTGAGAAGCTATTTGAGAGCTTTTAAAAACACGAGTTGCTTCTTCGTGCTGTGAGGAGAGAATAATAATAATCATAATCCTCACATTTGACACAGCGCCTTATCACAACTTCAAGGCGTCTCAAAGCGCTTCTCAGGATACACTGTAAAGTGCAGTGACTGTGTTTTTTGTGGCCGAGACGTGGCAGCCAATTGCGCACAGCGACGACACACAAACAGTCATGAAGTGATCAACCAATTTTGTTGGCCAGGACACCGGGGGGGAGAGAAACTCCCTTTTCTTTGCGAATAATGCTATGTGGGATCTTTAACGTCCACCTGAACAGACACAGATGGGACTTTGGTTTAACATCTCATGGGAAGGGGTTAGTGTCCCGCTGCTCAGTGACACGCCTGCCTCTGGCCTCTTCCCACCCCTCAGGTCCCGCAGTATCATCCAGGTCAACGCCAGCATGAGGTTCGAACCCCCTAAAATCAACATCTTCAACAAGGACTGCAAGAGGAACGGCAAGGAGTGCAGCTGTATGTCAGTGCTGATCTGCTTCACCATCACAGCCAAGTCTCCCGGACTGCTGAACGACAGCCTCGGTACCTTACCCACTGCAGTAATCATCCCTTCATACCCAGCGAGGGAGGGAGGGAGGGAGGGCAAGAGAGAGCGACAGAAAGATACAGTGATTCAGCAAGGGAAGGCAGGAGGGAGGGAGTGAGGGAGGAAGGGAGGGAGGCAGGGAGGGCAGGAGGGAGGGGGAGTGAGGCAGGGAGGGCAGGAGGGAGGGAGGGAGAGTGAGGCAGGGAGGGCGGGGGGGGGAGGGCGAGAGGGAGGGAGGGCAAGAATGAAGGCGAGCGAGAGCGAGTGAGTTCGAGGGAATTGGGGGACAGAGTTCCAGGGAGACTAAACCACAAGCAGCGAGGCATTTGAAGAAGAGAGTGAAACGCAGCTGATTGTTTTGCAGTTATTCAGTACAACACCACGATCGATGAGCGCAGGTACACACCTCGCGCCCTGTTTGACGAAAACTTTGAGAAAAACGTCCACAACAACATCACCGTGGTGCCCGAGCTGGAGACGTGCGACCAGATCAGCTTCCACGTGCTGGTGAGTGGGGGAGTCACTGCCTGGACTGGGCCCCTGGAAAATGTTTCCTAGTTCCTGCTGGGCTTTGCTGATGTCAGGACTGACTCTCTCTCGCTCTCTCTCTAGGACACGATGGATTATGTGAGACCAATTGGGTTTATATTGGACTTCATGCTTTCAGACCCCGACTATGGCCCAGTGCTGGACGACGGCTGGCCCACCACAGTGAAGACCTCGGTAAGTAATATATATGTGGTGCGGGGGGAACCAACACCATTTGGATGAGATAGATTTGGGGGGGAGGGGGTTCTGTCAAATCCCACGTCAGGACTTGGAGCTCACAGTTCACGGCTGATTAATAAATTGGCAAATTGGGGGAGAGGGGGGGGGGGTTGTTGCCATCCCTCGTTATGATGTTAACAGATGTTAAACCGAGGTCCCGTCTGGTGTTCATCGTGGGGGTGGGGGGGGTGGTGGTCTTAAATTTTGCAATGGCTACAGAACACACAGTCACTACACTTCACAAGATTATGCCTCCTTGGCAACCCTGTTCCAGTTGTCAATCACTGTGGGTTCACAGTATGTCCTGCGAAGAGCATTGACGTTTCCTCCTGACGTGAAAGGCGCTGTCAACATCAAACACAGGGATTATTATTATTATGTAATGTGGACCTTTCCGGCCTGTCTCCTGACCATTGCCCGGCTTACGTTGTCCCCTCTCCTCCTGCCTGTGTGCTGCCCAGCTCGGCTTCTGGAGCGATTGTGGAGAGGACGAGCACTGTGTGCCTGACCTGCTGCTGCGAGTCCAGAGCAATGTTCACGGCTCCAGGTAAGTGCAACGGCAACTCTAACCCCCTCCCTCCCCACTTTCAAATCCCACCTAAAGACCTACCTTTTTGACCGTGTGCTTACGGTCACCTCATCCCCTCCCTCTCCCCTCGGCTCGTGGTCAGACTCCAGGGGTGGGGCGGGTGGTGGGGCGGCTGCTGTATTGTCAGACATGCTGTCCTTTGGATGAGACCTTGTCTGTGCCTGTTCGGGTGCTGGACGAGATAAGATCTAGACCAGCAAGGATACAGGTTCAATGCCTCGTGTGTGCTGTACTGTGCTGTGCTGTGCTGGGAGCCCAGGTTTGGGGTTTAATGAGGAAACCAGGGGAGGACACAGCACTTTCACATCTGGAACTCGAGAGCACTGGAGCAGATCACGATTTTGGCCAGAATTTACAAAACCTGATTAAAGTGTGAAATTGCTCACTCAAGATTTAAGAGGAAAGCCAGAGAGCTTCAGTAGTGTGACCTAGAGTCCCATCAATCACTCACCAACTCCCTCTCTCTGTTTCTTTCTCTCTCTCTCTCTCTCTCTCTCCCCACCCACTCTTCCTATCTCTCCCTCCCCCTCTCTACCTGTCTCTACCTTACCCCATCTTTCCTCTCCTCCTCTCTCTCTCCCTCACTCACTCACTCACTCCCTCCCTCTCACTCATTCACTCACTCTATCCTTCATTTCCTTCCTCCTTCCCTCCCTCTCTCTCCCTCTCTCACTCATTCACTCACTTCCTCCCTCCCTCCCTCCCTCCCTCTCTCTTTCACTCACTCACTTCTTTCCTCCAGCCAATTCCCCTTCAGTATAGAGAGCAGCAGGAGGCGGCTGGTGCTGGAGGTGTGGTTGGAAAACCGACGAGAGAATGCGTACAACACGGTGCTGAATGCCACCTTCTCCAGGAACCTGCGATTCGCCACAATGGTGCAGCGGGTAAGCAGTCAATGATTTACTGTCGCCAACAAATGGTGGGGAATGAGACCTGAGACCAAACCAATCAAACAGTCCAGTAATGTAGTGGTTAGAGCACTCGCCTCGCAAGCGAGAGGACCCACGTTAGACTCCCGGGCAGGGCAAAACCTTAGGCAAGATTTCTTACTCCGTACACCTCTATTTACCTTGTGGAGTCCTGTAGCTCAGAGGTTAGAGCACTCGCCTCGCAAGCGAGACATCTGGGTTCAATTCCAGGCCGGGCGAAACCTTGGGCAAGTTTCCTTACTCCACACGCCTAATAATAATCCCTCCAAAACAAAACAATAATAAATTGGTCATTTAAATCCATGACTGTTTGTAGGACAGACGCTACTGTGCGCAATTGACTGCCGTGTTTCACCCACAAATATACAGTCAATTCACTTTACAGTGTCTGCTGTGAAGCGCTTTGAGACGTCGAGAAGACGTGAAAAGCGCTATATCAAATGCGAGGATTATTATTATCATATTATATTATTATTATTACCAAGTAGTAAATTGGAACCTGGTTGTTAGTTGGATCGCTTTGCAGGGTTAATAATTGGCTGTCGCAGAATAAACAGTCAATTTGCTTTACAGTATATTCTATCAAGCGCTTTGCGACGTCTCAACGAGGTAATAAGGCGCTATATCAATTGCAAAGATTATTATTATTATAGATTAAGAGTGGATTTAAAGTGTTTTCCATGGGGATGGAATCAAATGTCAAATAGAAATTAACTTGTAAAAGGAACCAAATAAATGACAAAGGTGGAGAGGGGGTGAGAACAGGGTCCTGGCCCACAAGATTGTAGAGGCAGAACCAGTTAATGTGTGTAAAAGGCAGATGGAGAGATAGTTGGGAAGTGAGGGGATGGGTGGTTGTAGAGGAAATTTGTGGGAAATGGGATTGGAATGCTCTTGCCGGCTCGACATTCCAAAATATGATCTTTGGGGCTGGAAAAAAAAATCTAAACAGCAATTAATAAACTCGTAACTAAACCACAGTTACAGATGTCAGACGCACTTTTTATGTTGTGTTAGCCTAGTTAGTTTGGTTTGGATTTTTGTCAGCTTTACCATAGGGGAGCAGGTTTGTTTCCCCCCCCCCCCTCCCAACAACAACAACAGACAACAACAAAATTACATTTGTAAAGCGCCTTTCACATTGGGAGGACGTCTCAAGGCGCTGGACAGACAGAGGTACGACCCGAGCTGGGGGGTTGGGGTCAGGGAGGGTGGAGGGCGGTGGGGGAAGCAGGGAGATCGAAAGCATACACTCACACAGAACCTTTCTTACAGACCTGAATTTGAGATCTCTCCCAGTTTCCCCCCCTCTCACATGTTTACGGACACACGCACACAATTTCAATCCGAACGACTGTTTGTGGGACACCGCTGTGCCCAATTGACTGCCATGTTTCGCCTACAAAATATACAGTCTATTCACTTCATAGTGACCTCTATGAAACACTTTGAGACGTCTCAATGAGGTGATAAGGCACTATATGAAATGTAAGGATTATTATTATTATTATTATCCAGCGTTGGGTATTGATTGGACGGGTGACTGGTTGACCGTTGATGAAGGTCCCGCTGTGTCCTTGCCCTCTGCCCACCTGTTCTCTGTAACCCAGGGTCTATAAACAGCTTTATTACATCGAATGCAGCACAAACTCCAACCACATGGTACCAACCCTCGCTCATAAAATGTTGCTGCCAACATGTTTGAATATCTGAAATCTGTGCTTTGGGAGAAATCTTCCTTCTTAGGGACTGGACATTGCTCTTGGACACGTTGAGGGAAGGAGGGAGGGAGGGTTGGTTGGTTGGTAATGGTAGTGAAAGGCGGGGGACGGGGAGATCTGGACTACATGGCCTGATCTGAGCAGATTTACCCTGATATAACAATGTACAACACCAATATGTATGTGTGTGCAACTCATACAGCAGGGGGATCCAGGAATCTTACATCCAGTAGCCCAGTGACACTGAGGCCACTCACAGTACCTTTCAGGTTTCAGAGGACATCCCAAAGAGCTTCACAGGATTTACTATAACATGTAGTGACTTTACAGAGTTAATGGCTATCAACATCTCCATTATTGTGGTGTACGACTATAAGGATGGTTAAAAGGAGACCAAGACCTTGATCTATTTTCATCTCACAATTCCTGTGTTCCAATGACTGTGGCGTCATCTGCACTAACAACAGACTCTGACAGGAGGTAATGGAACCCGGTCTCCTCTTTCCTTCTCTCTCTCTCTTACAGGATGACAGTGACGCTAAAATCGATTGCTTGAATCTGGAAAAGGGGCAAAGAAACAAACTGTGCACTGTGGGGTACCCAGTCTTCAGATCCCAATCCAGGGTAAGTGACTGGGGATTGGGGCCAGCCTGTGAAATTGGACACACATTAGAAAGAGAGAAGCATTAAAGCGCTCTGTGGCGCTATATAAATGTTGCTGTTATTGCAGGGCAGGGGGTGGGCTGCGGGTGGGGGAGTAAATGGATGATTGCTCTCGGAGACCCGGCAAAGGCAAGATAGGCTAAATATTCTCCCTCTGTGCTGTTATCTCTGTGATTCTCTGATAAGCCTTTCCAAGTCGAAAGGAGCATAACAACACACACGTCATCAACAGGGACTGTTCATACTCAGCTCCTGTTAACCCTGCGAGCCAAAGCCCCAGAGGGTAGGGCATTGCCAGCTGGTGATGTGCAACCTTCAGTGTGGAAGGGCGACTCACTCCTCTAACATGCAACTCCTCTAACGTTACCACGTTCGTCAGACACACGGCTGCCCGAAGAGAGAAAAACATTTCACAGGCTGCCTTCGCTGGCTGTGAGCTGCCAAGGAGATAAAGAAGCATGCGTGTGCGTGGCAGTGTGTGTCCTAATGAGTGCCAGAACAGAGTCCAGTCGAGGACACAATCTCAGCCACAGAACTCAAGGCGTATTTCCTACAATGTGTTGCGCACAGATGTAAGCTACTCCCGGCTTTTAAACGTAACGAATAGTCTTGATCTTTTTAAAGCGGGGGTGGTGCGGGGCGGGGTTGGGCGGTGTGTGAAAGGAAAATAAAACCATGTTATTTTTGGCAGCGCGGTTTAAGGAGGAATCTTAGCATTTTCTTTTTAAAATTTTCTTTCAAATAAAAAAAATACTAAATTAATAATAATTTGGTCACTCAAATCCACGATCGTTTGGGGGCCGATACCACACGCCATTGCCCACAAAACACAGTCACTCCACTTTACAGTGCATCCTGTGAAGCGCTTTGAGACGTCTGGAAGACCTGATGAGGCTCTGTATCAAATGCAAGGATTAATATTATTATTATTATTATTATTATCCTGTGACACTGTGTGTGGGGTGGGTGGGTTTGCAGACCAGCTCCTATGCTCTGCTCACACCAGGTTTGGTGAGGTGCCAGGGCTCTCTGTTCTCTCCGCTTGGCCGAGTGGCAGAGCTGAGAGAGAGCTGGGGTTTGCTCTGATCAGAGGCTGCTGACTGCTTCTCAGCGCTGGTCTCAACCCATCTTCCTCCTTCGCAGGTCGCTTTCCGCTTGGAGTTCGAGTTCAGCCATTCCGTCTTCCTGGGTACCGTGGAGGTGGTGCTGACAACCAGCAGGTGTGTACAGCCAACGACGTGATAAGGCGCTGTATCAGCTGCAAGGATTATTATTATTATTACCTGCGCTTGTTGTAAGTGCTCCGAGACGCTGCCCTGTGTGAAGGGCATTATAGGAATGCAAACAAGAACAGAAGTCGCTGGGAACACTCAGCAGGTCAGGCTGAGTCGTTGACTCACTTTCCTTTCTCCATAGATGCTGCCTGACCTGCTGAGTGTTCCCAGCGACTTCTGTTTTTGTTTTCAGGTTTCCAGGGCCTGCAGTATGTTGTGTTTTGACTATATAAATGCAAGTTGTTGTTGATGTCATACCCAGCGACGGTGATGAAGCAGAAGAGACTCTGGCTGACAACACCTTCCACCTGTGGGTGCCAGTGCGATATGAAGCTGATCTCCTGCTCACAAGGTACACGTCTGCCCTCCGTGTAGCCCACTTGGCTCTGTCCATAGCTCTCTCTCTCTCTCTCTCTAACCAATGGACCAGGAAGCTAATGGTTCCCACACCCGTTTGGTAGCTCACAGTCTTGATTTGGAAGGGAGGGGGCCGGAGCCCTGGGTTGTCGGAGTTGTCGTCCTTCGGGTGAGACGTTTAAACCAAAGCTCGGTCTGCCTATTCAAGTGGATGTCAAAAATCCCACGTCACCGTGCAAAAAGAGAAGGGAGATTGGCCAACAATCCCCTAAATAGAATCGGTCGCTCACTCCATGTGGGACGCCGCTGTGCGCAATTGGCTGCCATGTTTCTCCCACATGATACACAGTCAATTCACTTTACAGTATATCCTGTGAAGCGCTTTGAGACGTCTCCACGACGTGATCAGGCGCTGTATCAAATGCAAGGATTATTATTATTATTATTATTATTATCAACTAATTCAGCTGATTGAGAATGGATCAGTATGGAGAACAATCAGGCCCCGCTCACACTGTGTGCTGCTGAGGATCTGAGGCGAGAGGTCTCGGGGTTTACACGTGTGTTTTTTTTTTGCCCCCGGCAGGGAGTCCAACCCAATGCATTTCGAGGTGCAATCCACTCATGACCCGGACACCGGCGACGACCGCGATCCTCCATTCAACTTCACCTTCACGGTAAAAAGCGGTTTTGGTTCAGGCGGCCGTCAGCTCGATATCTCTGATAGTCATCGATTTAAAAAAAACGTGATAAGGCGCTATATCAAATGCAAGGATTATTATTATTATAATCAGCTCCCTCCTCTCGTCGGCACGCCATCAATCTCCACCACTGCTAAGCGCTCTGAGGCGCTGCCCCCCACCTGAAGAGCGCTATACAACTGCATGTTGTTGTTGTTGTCGCCTGCCTACAGCTTTGCGCGTTAACGAGAATCATGTCCTGTTGCAAATGAGGGGAAACAACAACAACAACTTGCATTTAACTATAGCGCCCCTCACACAGGGCAGCGTCCCAGAGTGTTTGAGGGGAATCTCAGTGAGGATGGGGGTTAACAACCTGCATTGTATTTTACACACGGCTAAAGGCTGCCCTCAGATGCTAAGCGCATTCCAAAAGAATCTGTACGGAAATTCAGCAAATATCTATCCCAGAGCTGTCTGTATGGAAAGTCAGACACTATCTCTTGAGGAACAGAGCTGGAATGTTGAGGAGACCTTCCAGGGAACCTGTTTGGAGTTGTTGGCAGCTTTCCGTGGAGGTGATGAAGTGGAAAGAGTGCGGAGATCTCCATAGGGATCAGGGTGGGATGACCGGCCAAGATATCTCAGTTTCACGTTGAATTGTAAGCCTCTCTCCCTTTCACAGGCTGTTTCCTGGCTTCATCTCATCTCTCTTGGAAAAGAGCTTGGAATTTGGTGGGGGGGGTGGGGGGGAAATGGTTCTCCTTTTCCCTCCCTCCCCCTAGGTCACCAGATCAGCTGACAAACAGATAGTTGCCCCCCTCAATAATACATCGATCAATCATGACCCAGATTTGTGGCTTTTTTTTAAAAAAAAGGTTACGTGTGGGATAGGAACACGGAGATTGCTGCCGAATAAAAATCAAGTTTTAGTTAGTTTGGGTTGGGGGTGGGGGGTGCGGTGTAATTGGCCGGGGGAAAGTTGGGAGGGTTTGGGAATTAGGGGTGTGAGATGGCTCCTTTCCTGACAGGCACTGTTTTTCCCGTTGGTTCCCAGCTGCAGAATATGGGCCGCTTTCCGGTGGGACGGCTGTTGGTGACAGTGACGGTCCCGGCCATGACTGAGGCCAACAACCTGCTGCTACTCCTGACTGACAACACCACCGACCCTGTGAGTGCTCCCGCCATGACCCCCGCGCCCCCCCCACACGACCTCCACCCCTTCTGACCCCAACTCCCAGCTCAGGTGCAAAGCTCACTGACTGTCCAGCACTCTTGGACGTCTTTCCGATGTGAAGGGCCCAATACAAGTGTCATTTGTTGTTGTTGTTGTTGTCGTCGTCGTGACCCTGGCCCCAATCCCGCCGGAGCCATCACCAGACTCCGATCCCCGCAGCCTCCGACCTCGCCTCGTGCTCCTGACACACCCGGGACTGGAAACGCGGCAGCCAATTGCGCGCAGCAGGCGTCTCTCACACAGTCGTGGATTAAGTGACCACATTATTGTGGTTATTATTTTGGTTGCAGGTGGACGGGATGCGGTGCAGTCTGATCAACCACCCGGACATACAGCGATGGCACCTTGGTGCCCGAGACACTACCCTCGAGGACCTCAGACACCACGAGAAGCTGGTAACGAGAGCTGGCGCCGGTTTAGCGAGTGGCGGGGGGGGGGGGTTAACCTGTCCGTCTGTCTGTCTGTCTATCGGTCTCTGCGATCTGTTCCGAGTGGAATATCAGACACACAGATAGGCGCAAATCACAGACTATTACAACAACAACTACTAATTGCATTTATATGGCACCTTTCCACATCAGGAGGACGTCCCAAGGTGCTGGACAGTCAAGGGTTTGCACTTGACCTGGGGGTGGGATTTGAGAGGGGTTGAGAGTAAGAGGGTTTGGGGTGGGGGTGGCTGGATGACCGAAGGCATAGTCGAAGAGGAAAGTCTTGAGATATGCTGCTGCATTTCGCTCACAAAATATTCAATCAATCCACTTTACAGTATATTCTCTGAAGAGCTTTGAGGCGTCTCAACGGCATGTTAAGGCGTTACGATAAATGCAAGGATTAATATTATTATTAGCTTATTATTTTTATCTTCTGGCTGTGTGACAGGACGCCAGCAATGCCAAGTGTACTTCACTGCTGTGTGAGGTGGCGGATTTGGGCGCCAGTGAAATGTACAGCATCCACATCTTTGGCCGGTTACAAATGGACTCGCTTACAGCAGTGAGTAGAAAGGAACTTCTCAGTGACATCGGGGCAAACTGTAAAACTCTGTGCCAATGGGATTTCAGCATAATGTTGGAGGATATAAAACGGAGCCTGGGTTTAATTTAAATTCCACATTCCTTTCGACTTTCTTCATCCTAAATAACACAAGCACACATTAATTTTCTTTGAAAGCTATATATTATTGTCCTGCAGTAAAGGAAAAGTTTGGAGGGGAGGGTGGAAGGAGAGAGGCTGGGGGAAGCAAGACACTGGATTCAAAGCCACAAACCCAGAACTCACTATTAAAATGTGCATGAGTTGGGTTTTTTTAATCAGTCAATCAAGTGTCTGACACATTGTGAAAACTCATCTCCGTGCTCAAGAGTATCCAAACCAGATTGAGCATTGCACATATGCACAAACGGAAATTTCCGTGTGTCTGGAATGGAACACGCACTCTCTCTCTTTCTCCTAAATGACGCACTCTGCTAACCTAATCCCGGAGACTGTTGGGCGCAGGTTGGCAAGAGCCAAGGCTTGGGGGATCCCAGAGTGTGTATAAATGCGAGTCAGAGTGACCTCAAGGATTCTGGGCTGCTTTAAGGTGCCTCCCTCTCGGGAGTGTAATATCTAGTGAGAATCTCAATGTACTGTCTCTTCTCTGCCCCCCACCCCCCCCACACAGCTGAAGTTCCGGTCGCTGCTGCTTGTAACCACTGCCTCACTGGAGATCAAGGAACCGAGGCCCATGTTCATCCGGGAAGACAGGAGAAGCCGGCACGTGAGTGACACGCTGCGGGGCTGAGCGGGGGATTAGTTGATTGGCGGATGGCTTTCCAGGGGTAATAATCCCTCCAAAAAGATAATAATAATAATAATTCAATCACTCAATCCACAACTGTTTGGGGACAGTGCTGTGCGCAATTGGCTGCTGCTTTTCACCCACAAAATACAAGGTCACTCCACTTTACAATACAGTATGTGACGTGATAAGGCGCTATATCAAATGCAAGGATTATTATTATAATATAATTCCCGGGAGCCGGGGTGAATAGTGGGACAGATTTATCGGAAGCAACATCCTCTCCCCCCCACGCACATATTCTAACCCTCCCCCACCCCTTCACCCCCCCATTTCAGTCTTTGTCAAGTGCTTTGAGACGTTCTCCATATTGTGTCAGTGTAAATTGTTGTGGATTATTGTCCCTTTAACCAAACGTCTGTGCTGTCCTGTCCCTGATGAGGTTGACACGTCACACAGGAATGTGCAGGAGCGGAAACACCATCTGCCACAGGCTCCGAGCAAAATAAATAACCTTATGTAATACTCACGCTCTCGTGACATCACTCTCTCTCTCTCTCTTACTCATGCCTCGACCCATTTCTTCCCGAAACGGCTCTTTAATTCCCTCTTGAAATTGCTAACACAATCTGCCACCTTTGGGATATTCAGTCCTGTCCACTGTGTGTGTGTGTATGTGTGTCACTCACACAAGCGAGAGGACCTGGGTTCGATTCCCGGGCAGGGCGAAACGTTAGGCAAGTTTCCTTACTCCACACGCCTCTGTTTATCTAGCAGTAAGTAGAAACCCAGTTGTTAGTCGATTGGTGGTTCGCTTTCCGGGGGTAATAGTCCTTTCAACAATTTTTTAAAATTATAATTTGGTCACTCAATAGCCACGACACTGCTGTGTGCAATTGGCTGCCGCGTTTTGCCCCCACAAATATGCAGTCAATTCACTTGACAGTATATTCTGTGAAGCCTTGAAGACATGATAAAGCCGTATATCAAATGCAAGGATTATTATTATTATTATATTATTCTAAAGCAACCAAATATGAAGTGCTCCCTCGGCTTTCCCTTCTCTGATCTCCACTCCCGATCTCCTTGTTGTTACAGCAGGCCAGAGATCGCCTTGATATCAGCTAGCGTGCCACAGATGTTTCTAATCCTCTTGTCTGTGTTTCCGTACACACACACGCACACGCTCCTAGTCTGGGATAATAAAAAGCCCATCTGTTGTCTCTCCCCATTCCCCCCAGCCACGCCATCTACCGACATTTGACCTCCTTTTGAAGGGGGAAAGGATTTGTCCTGTGAAAACGCCGACGACGCTGCTTTATTCTTAATATCCTGCTTCCCATCCTTCGCTACTCTCTCTGCGCGTTGACCAGGCGGCACAGAAGGAAATGAACTCCTCTCAGTCCCACACGCACACCATCCATCTGTCGCGCGGTTTGCTGAGTGGAGTTGACCCAAAGCCGTTCCCCCTGACCACTTCAGCGGGCCTCACCCTGCCCTCTGGTGGCCGATCCCACAGTGTGCCACAGAACAACAATATTATATAACCCTTGCATTCTTCATTTGGAATAACAATCCTTGCATTTAACGCAGCGCCTCATCCTGTCATCGAGACGTCTCAAAGCTCTTCACAGCTGATACTGTAAAGTGGAGTGACTCTGTATTTCGTGGGTGAAACGCGGCGGCCAATTGCGCACGACAGCGTCCCCGCAAACAGCCGTGGATTGAAAGACCACATCAAAGCGTTTCATAAGTATTTGACGATAAAAATCGCTGTCAAGCGACCAGGTGTTTTGCAGGCAGTTTACGAAACTCAAACACCCCACAAACCGCCACGAAACGAACGGCTCACCATGACTCACCACACGCCCTCCTTCCTCTCGTTGTAGATTGCTCTGCGAATCACTGGCCAGTATGAGTCCGAGGTCCCGCTCTGGATTATCATTGGGAGCTTGTTAGGGGGTTTGCTGCTGCTGGCTCTCCTCATTCTGGCTCTGTGGAAGGTAAGAGGCGTCTCGCAGTGTCTATGCAAAGTGTTGGTCTGTTTATACGTGAATGAAATAAGTGGAACTCCATCCCACGGTCCCTCCGCCTTACCACCCCTCCCTTGCTTCCTTCAAGACCCGCCTCAAGACCCTCCCCTTCAGCCGCACCTTCGGTCGCCCTCCTACTCCCAATCTCTCTGCCCTCCACCCCTCCTGATCCCAACCCCCAGCTCAGAGTAAATCCTTGACTGTCCAGCACCTTCAGATGTCCTCTCGATGTAAGGGGCGATGTGTAATTGTGTTGTGTTGCTGGGGAACACAGGAACAAGAGGAGGCCATTCAACATCTCGGCTCTGCTTAGCCGATTTAATAGACTTCAGCAGATCTTTTAATCCCATTCATCACATTTCCTCCACACACCTCAATCCCCTTACTTCCCAAGCCTCTCTCAATCTATCTCCCTCCCTATGAAAGATCCTAATCAATTCTGCCTGTGCGTTCCACAACACAATCTGGAGATAAATGGCAGAACAGTTTGTGTTCCTGTCTCAATGAGGCAGTAGAATGGGGGGAGAATGAGGGCTACAATTGACCTCAGCGCCTTGGGATTGGGATTGTCCCCATTCCTGCAGATGTCAGAGCCTTGGAAAGTCCTCCCGACGTCAAAGCACTATACAGATGTAATTTGTTGTTGTTGTAACGTTCCGCTGTGTGGGCTTAACCTTTCCCACTCTTCGCTCCTTCTCAGTTGGGCTTTTTCCAAAGTGCCCACCACAAGAGGAAGCAGTCACTCACGGATCAGAACAGCTCAACAGCTCAGAGTTAACCCAGTGCTGGGGCCGTACCTTCAACTCTCTTACACCACAACAACGCTGAACAAGAGGGTGTGAGCTCACTACAGAGCCCCAGCAGGTGGCTGACTGGCCAGAGGTCACCTCGGATCAGTTCAGCACCACGGCTCCTGCCGGTCACTGTTTATTACTATTATAGACTGTCTCAGCACACTTTAGTCAGGCTTATAAGGTGCAATATGCTTTAATTCCCGATAGCTAGTATCCTTGCTAGCACACACACACAGCCACCTCTGCCCTGTCCCGGTAGAGGAATGGCCTCAGGTGTAGAGTGATTCCCAAATAATTTCCACATTTGAAAACCTGATCGGTCATTTCGCTGTGTTTAAAATGTGGTGAGGTTCAGTCACAGTGTAACCAGGGAACAGGTGAGGGGGTCAGGCAGTCACAGTGTACCTGAGGCCTGACCGGAAGCTGCAGGGGGTTTTCCTGGTTGCTGACAAGGTGTCGAGCCCTTTTTACAGCAAAGTTCTCACAGAGACGTTCGACTGCTTTTCCTTCTCCGCTGCGACACGTTCCCAACAGCCAGACGGGGTTGGACCTGGGCTGAGACAGACGCCTTTTCCAAGCCTCTTGCTCAGCCCTCTCCTCCTGCTCTGGTGGGACGCAGGGTCTGAGTTACTCCCCTCACCCCCCACCCCACCCCGCACTGTTAAGTAGCAAAAAGCTGAGTTGCAGCTCCAGGATCATCGCACAAATCACTCACGGAGATCGACATCGCATAGCCCAGACTTACACTGCAAAGGCAGTGTGTACTTTGCACCCGAATACTTCTAAACAGTGTATAAATCAAACCCCCCCCCCCCCCCACCGAGTTCCAGCTCAGAAAAAGCCCCGCCACAACGTGCGACTTATACACCAGACATTACGGCCCAACCACTAGTAACACAATGGAGTTAAACATGTAAAGTCTCCCTGTGCTTTGGACAATCACAAACTGTATGATATGTAAAACATCCCTCGTGTATGTAAATATTTGGACAGTTTTTAACCTTCTGATTTCGTATTGTAGAAAATGTGTAATTATGAGAGAGGAGTGTTTACTGGAATGTGTCCGAAAAAGATGGAATATGTTGTTACTAAAATTAATTTACAGTCACAATGGCTGCTTGAAATTCTTCTGCAAATGTATTGATCATAGGGATCGGGTGTTATCGGTCATACGTTATTGGCCAACAGTATCTGCCTGACTTCCAGTTACTTGGTCTAATTAACGCTCTGCATTTACACCCCTCTCCCACACACACACACAATCGTATACACTAATGGCTCAGTGGGAAGTTAATTGTTCAGTGGGTGACAACTTTAAATGTCTGGTCTGTGCTGAGTTATTCCAACATCCAATGGGGCACTGTGTAATAATAATAATAATCCTTGCATTTGATATAACACCTTATCACATTGACAATACACCTCAAAGTGCTTTTAAGAGATTTAACTGCAGAGTGTGGAAATTGTTTGTAGGCAAACGCAACAGTCAGTATGCGCATCGCACTGTCCCACAAACAAAGAATGTGGTGGGGGTTGTGGGGTGGGCGTGGTGTTTGGATTGGGGGATATGGTGGCGTATAGAGCTCTTAAATGGCCTGTGGTGGTGCGAGCTTGATGGACTGATCAGCCTTGGGTCATCCTCCCGATGTGAAAGGCGCTTTACAAATGTAATTTTGCTGTTGTTCCTGATTTCCTGTCAACGACTGTATCTACAAATGGAAGGTGACTGCTCCAAGCGTTAACGACTGAGTCGTCAAGCGCAGAGATAACAAAAGTACAACTCAAGCTCACTGGACCCGATCTCATGCCTGACCTCAATCTAATAAAAACAAATGTTAATTTACAGTAAAATATGATGCAACGGAGCACATTGCTTCAAAGCCAAAGTTCCTGCAGCCTAATGGAATGTCTGAGACACAGCGCAGGCAGACAGCTGAACAGCTCCTGAAGGAAACTGATGAGGGAAAAGGAGCTTGCATTTTTTGTAGCGTCTTATCAAGCCAAAACGCCCCGAAAACCTTTACAGGCAATTGCCGTCAGCAACTATTTGTTCCAGACAGGTTGGTCCCAAACACAGAGCCTAGGAATAGTCAATTTAACCTGGCGGATAGTTGGCCAGACACAAGGAGAAACTTCATTCTCTTTTCCAAGTGTCTTGGGACCTTTCACGTCCACCTGAACAGGCAGCTGAGTCCTCGTTTTTACACGTCCCATCTGAAAATTCTGATGACAACCTTTATGCTCGGCCAACAAATAAAGTTGACTTTATTGAATTTAACTTAATTTGTCGCCATGCCAAAGGAATCGCGCTCGGTAGCTACTGGAACTTTTATTCGGACTTGCCTGGGCTGTCAAACCGCTTCACAGAATATATTGTAAAGTGGATTGGCTTTACAAACCCTAAAGTGCGTTTTGCCCACAAAATGCAGTCAATCCACTTCACAGTATACTCTGTGAAGCGCTTTGAGGCGTCTCAACAACCGGTTAAGGCACTGTATCAAATGCAAGGATGATCATCATTATTATAAACTGCGATCCTGTTTTATACAGCAGAAAGTACAGCAAGTTATCGAAATGACGACGAGCAGATTGTGCTGGGAGAGCGGACGGGACGGTTTGCGGGAACTGGTGTAAACCACGCCGCCTGCGAAGCCACAAGTTGAATGTGAAAGCACTGCAGTTCAAACATGACATCATTAGTGCTGAATGCTGCGAGTCGCTCTGGTTTTCTACCGAGTCCGGAGCAAAGACAGAGACTGCAGTCGAGTCAGTCATCCGCACTCCGGTACCTCCAGCTCCGGGGCGCCGCCTACAGGTCTCACAGAGTACTGCACAGCGGAGCACTGAAACCATAGCATTGACACTGACAACACCACAGAGTCCAGGAGACAAATGTGACGAATTCAACCAACAAATATTCACCGCTCACAGACCTGAGTCTAATGGAATGTTGACTTTTCTTTTTTAAAACAAAAAATCACATTTGTTTTGCTTCAAATCAATGAGTTTCACAGGCTGCGGAGCCTGCGGCCGAGCCCGGGGGGGAGGGGGGGGGGGGGGGCGGGAGGTGACTGTAAGCACGGTCAAAGACGAAGATCTTCTGGCACAACCTGAAGTTGGGGAAGAGGGCCATTAGCTGAGGCTTCCTGTGTTAAACAAAATGACCAACCGCCATGTTGTCGTTGTTACTTCCTGTAATAATAAGATGAGGAAGGAGGGAATGAGTGAGAGGGTTCAAGAGTTTTGGGACGTAGTGACTGAAAGCGCGGCCGCTGATGGTGGAACGAAGGGCGTGAGGGGTGAGCAGGAGGCTGGAGCCAGTCAAGCAGAGGAGATGGGTAGTGGATTGGGGAGTAAGCAGGTCGGAGAGGTAAGGAGATGCCAGGGCGTGATGGAATTTGTGGACAGTTTAAGGCTGTGGGTTTTAAAAGCAGCCACGTGGTGATGCTGAGACATCGATTGTGTGGCAGAACAGAGTCTCCAGTCAGCAACTTAGGTTGGAATTGACTTTAATCAACCGAACATGGAGCCAGCCAGTACGGGGGGGAAGACAGCGTCGCACCCACAGTTCATTATACTATACAGGCTCTGCAGCACACAACTATCTCAACATTATCCGCGTATTCAAGTGGATGCTTGATGATTGGCAAAAAAATAACCTGTTCCATCAACGACCAACTTAAACCATGAGCTGGAGTTTGCTCAGCAGACTGGCCAGACTTCACACTGCAGGAGTGAATACACAATTACAGGGGAAGCCCGTCATAACCCCAGGCAGTACAGCGCGGCCTTCCTTAGAAGGTTATGGCCCCAGGAAATACAGGACAGCCCTGTTATTAACTGAGGCTTCCGGTGTTAAACAAAATGGTCAACCTCCATGTTGTCATTGTTACTTCCTATAATATGCGCTGTGCGTGTCCGCTCTGCACAGGAAGCACTGCTGATGTCACTTATATTAATAATAATCCTTGCATTTGATATATCACCTTATCACGTCGTTAAGATGTCTCAAAGCGCGTCACAGAATTCACTGTGAGGGGAATTCACTGTATTTTGTGGGCAGAACACTTCACATAGAGTAATGTCAGCAGGACTTCTTGCGCACATGGAAGTGATGTAATGGCGTCAGCAACCCGACAATGTGGAAGTCGGCTATTTTGCCGAATGCCAGTCGAGTAGTAGATGGTGAGAGTAGCCGGCTTTCTGCCACAGCTATAAACGTTTGTTCATAACACAGGCTGAAACTTTCCAACAACCACGTTATCATGGGGTTCCCCTGTATTTATATATACATCTACATTTATACAGATTCTGAAAGAAAGGTGGGCCAATTCACTGATCATTTTAATATGTCCAAATATTTCATTGTCTGCTTCAATAACGTGATTGCAGACCCACCCCACCAGACACACACAAAAGAAAGTTGAAAAGTCCGAAAGGGAAGATGTGAATTTTCCCTTAGCGCTCGGTAAAGTCATCCATTTGAAGGCCGCACCCAGACAGATACAAGACCAAAGTCGTAGGGAATGAACAACTGATCTGATGTGACCATTTCAACCCCCTCCTCTCCTCCTCCCACCCCACGCACCCACCACCAATATTTGGAAATATTAAAGTAAAGGTAAATAAAAAAACTATTAACTTTCACAATTCGGGAAAATTTGCAAAGCCACGTTGTGAAGGGAGTCTATTGGAAATAAATGCTGTGTCCAATCATAGTTGTGTGTATGTGTGTTGGTGGGGGTGTGGGGGGGGGTGGGAGAAGGGGAGCAGGTAGGGAAAGTAAAGGGGAGGAGAGAAGAGAGAAAGAATCGGTTAAAAAAAAGAGATTAGTCAGGACATATCTAGAGCAGTCTATTCAGTGGAGCTAACAGTCAATGAAACTCTACAAACTCTTCCAATGTGTGTGGGATCTGCCTTTTGTAGTTGATGTTGTAAGTCCGCACCGCTCGGGCGGCCAGGCACTTGAGGCTCATCTTCATTTGTGTTTTGAGCAGGATCTCGGAGACCCCTGTCGTGCTCTTGTCCAGGGGGGTCTTGCCCTGCTTGTTGGTCATGTCGGCGTGAGCGCCGGCCTCCACCAGGCTGACGATGATGGCGTGTAGCGTCAGGAAGTCGCTGATCGGCCGGTTGTACTGCACGATGACGTGCAGCGGGCTATTGCCCTCGGCGTCCACTGCGTTGGTGTCGGCCCCGCAGTCCAGCAGCAGTTTGGTGACCTGGGCGTTGGGGAAGCAGCACACGTCATTTGTGTGAAAGTCGTCCACCGGAGTGCCGGGGTTGACGGCCAAGTGCAACAGACTGGAGCCCTCCCGAGTCCGAGGGTCCAAGTGGATCAGGTTATAGATCTGCTTGTTGATACGTGCTCGCTCGCTCTCCGAGCACTGAGTCTTTGTGGAGATGCACACCAAGTACAGGAAAGTAAACACCGTGGACTCATAGTTATCCAGAGCTGCCTGGATATCCATCTCCACCGGGCTCTTGATCCTGGCCAGGCCCCTCTCGATCTCAAGTACGCTGCAGTTCAACACGTTCTCAATGTCCGTGGGCTTCACCGGCTCGTTCAAGTGGATCATCTGAGAAAAGACTTGAGCGAAGCGCAGCAGGTCCTTGTGGATGTTGCGGTTACCTTTCTGCCTGAGCTGCAGGGCGTGAAGCCACAGCTTGTTGCACTGCTCGAACTCCATGTTGTCTGCATACACGGCTCCCCGGTAGATGATGGGATGCGACACGTCGATGTTCTCCGAGCCCAGGATGCGCTCCCGCACTATCAGCCCTTCCATGTGCAGAGCGTCCCTGTCCTGCCGGATGGTTTCCAGCTCCTGTGGCGTGCGGCACTCAGTCCGGCCGCTGTAAGCCTCCAGTGAGGGCAGGGTGACCTTCTCAATGGGGTTGCCTGGGTCTCGGTGACGCTCCAGCATAGCCAGGTACAGGTAGTGATAGGTCTTCTCGATGTCGTAGTTCTCCCGGTCGTTGGCGAAGGAGGCGCCGAGGAGCTCCAGGGCCTCGATGCGGCTGGTGCGGTCACAGTCCTCGTGGTTGAGGAGCAGCTCCACCACGTCGGCCTTGCAGCTCTCAGCGGCCACCTTGAGCGGCGTCATGCCATGTCCGTTCACTACCATCGCCGCCTTCCACCCAACCAGCTCCTTCACGATAACCAGATGTCCGGCCTCGGCAGCAAAGTGCAGCGCTGTGGCCCCGCAGTGAGCCTTAGCATTGGGATCAGCCTTTTGCTCCAGCAGGTACCTACACCAACAAAGAGAACTATTTTAAGAGCATGCAACCATTCAAAGAATCATTGAATCTTACAGCACAGAAGGAGGCCATTTGGTCCATCGTGCCTGTGCCGGTTCTTTGAAAGAGCTACCAACTAGTCCCACTCCCCCACTCTTACCCATAGCCCTGCACATTTTTCTGTTTCAGGGGGGGGTCACTTAATGCCCTCCTGAATCACAAGACAGACAGGACCTCAATAGTGACGTGATAACAGCAACAACAAATCGCACTTGTATAACCCTTTTCATGTTGGGAGGACAGTCAAAAATTTGGTCCCCAAAATAATCTGAAAATATAAATAAATAACACCTTCCAGCAAGAAAAGATCTTCACCTCACGATTCTGGACTAGATTCAGGACCAAGTGCCCGAGGTGAAAAGAATGCTTACTGAATTGCCATTCCAGCCTCTAATTACCCCTCCCCATTGGAATTTCCTGTCTTACAAAGGTAAAAGTAACTTTGCTGAAGAAAAACAGTACACCTGAGAGCATTGCTGGCATCGAATGCAAGATTCACAGCGCTTACTGAGTGCGGCAGCAAAACGAGAGTGATTAACTATGGCAATTATTCAGCCCAGTTGAAAGATTCCAGAGCCCTGCAAGCAATGCAAAGGCTTTGCTTACTGATAAACACAAGAGATAAAAGTTCCTCATCCCCTGTTACACAGCCCGAGAGCTAAATAATTCTGAGTCCCCCCCCTTCCCTCCATCACGAGTGTTCTGCAATGATGAGATTGCAATAAACTCCTCAGACACAGAAACTGCACAGCTCAGCTGATGGTAAGTAACTGTATGCAGAGCAGCTCAATGTTGAATCAATATCTCTATGCTAAGTTAACTGATCCCGGGGGGGGGGGGGAGGGAAGCTTAGAATTTAGAAATTCAGAACACTGAATGGCGACTTCCGATGTGTGGGGTCCCACAGATATGCTGGAATATCACGATTGCAGCTTTACTCTTTCTGATATATTCTGATACTCTTTCTTTACTCTTGGGACGTCCTCCTGACGTGAAAGGCGCTTTATAAATGGAATCTTGTTGTTGTTGTTGTTGATATCCTTCGTCGAGTTAAAAAGCCCGGATTTCAGGAATTAACCGCCACCAGCTGGGAGTCCGAGGCGGACTGGTGCAGCGCCGGGAGGACGCGGCCGTCCGCCGAGTCAACCTCTCTACGCATGACACGTCGAGGCGAAATATTCCGAATGCAGAGTAGGCGGACGGCTGCCGCGTCCTCGCCCCCCCAAACAGGCGGTCAATTCACTGCACAGTGCATAGCCCGTGAAGCCCTTTGAGACGCCGAGAAGACGCGAGAAGGGAAAAGGGCGGAAAGCAAAGGATTATCATCATCATAAAGGTGAACAGACTTTCCTCTTCAATGGTCCCACAACACCCACCACCCACCAAACCCCACCCCCCACGGCTGGGCGTCAGGCTCGGCCACCGCCAAGCGCTCTGGGACGCTGCCCTGCGTGAGGGGCGCAGTGCTGTTGCTGCTGGACGTGCAATCCGCCGCCCCCGCCCCCACGGGCCGTACCTGACCACGTCGCTGTGGCCCTTGTAGGCGGCGATCATGAGGCAGGTGTTGTCGTACTTGTTGGCGATGCCGATGTTGGCGCTGTTCTCCACCAGGTAGCGCACGATGTCCAGGCGGCCGTCGAAGCAGGCGGCGCGGAGCGGGGTGGAGTTGGTGACGGTCGTGTGGTTGACGTTGGCCCCGCGGCCCACCAGCAGCCGCACCACCTCCAGGTGACCGGCTCCCGCCGCGCACCACAGCGCCGTGGCGCCGTCGATCACGTAGCCGTCGAAGCGCACGGTGCCGGTCTGCTCGGTGGCCACCCGGTAGTGGTCGAGCAGCAGCCGCACCACTTTGCCGTGGCCGTTGCGGGCGGCGATGATGAGCGGGGTGGACCGCTGCCCGCCCTGCGCGCTCCGGGCCTCGAGCAGCGCCCGCGCCTCGGCCTCCGAGCGGTTCAGCAGCAGCGCCGCCAGGGTCAGCACCCGCCCCTCGCTCGCCGCCTTGTACACGTAAGCGGCCAGCGACTCCATCAGCCTCCCCTCCCTGCCGCCGCCGCCGCCGCCACCGCGCCGTCTCTCATCCTCCAGCTCCAGCTCTCGACGCCATCTTTCGCCGCCCCCGTCACTTCCGCCTCGCGCGCCGGAAGCCGCTCCGCTCTTCCGTCCCCCCCCCCTCGATTGCAACGCTAATGACAGTCCGACCGAGGAGCACTTTTACTGTCTGTTCGTTCCTATTCCCCCCCCCCACACACACACACACCACCACCACACCACCACGTGTCCATTATGATACCATTATATGTTGCATTATAAGTTCCTACCGCCCCCCCACACACACACCCACACACACACACACCTCACCACCACGTGTCCGTTATGATAATAAATAAGATCACTCCGGGAGTTGTGATCAGGAGCCTTCCCCCCCCCTCCCCCCGGGTCTCGCTGTCTATTCGTTCCAACCTCCTTCACCCCCCCCCCCCCCCTCCGCGCTCACAATAAATACATATGAACGATCCTCGCGTTCGATACGGGGTCTTATCACGTTGTCCAGACATCTCCACCCGCCTCGCAGGCTATACCGGTAAAGCGAACCGATCGACGGCGGATTTTGTGAGCGAATAGCAGCCGCCAGTTTGCCCACTGGGAGAGAGCGAAACTCCCTTCTCTTTTCGAATCGTGCGATGGGGTTCCCAAATGCAATAAATTCTCGCATTTGAGAAAGTGCCAAAACCATCAAAACATCTGACGTGCTCTGGAGTGTCAGCCTGGACTATAAACTCGAGGCGTGACACCAGATCACAACTTTCTGACTCAGTGACGGGAGAGAGCTACCGACAAACTGAGAAGTAAACTTTAGTTACCCTGATCCCCAGAGGTCAATCAAAAGCACTTGTATCTGATCTTTACCTGGTCTGTGAGTCGATTGACAGATCGCTTTTCGGGGGCGTAATAATCCCATCAAAAATAAATTGAAAGAAAAAATTAAGAAGAAGAATCTGGTCGCTCAACCCACGGCTGTTTGTGTGTGTGTGTGTGTGGGGGGGGGGGGGTGCGGGGGACGCTGCTGTGCGCAATCGGCTGCCGCGTTTCACCCACAAAACGCACAGTCAATCCAATTGACGGTATATTTCTGCTGCGAAGCTCTTTTCGTGGCGTCTCGAAGACGCGATCGGGGGAAATATCAAATGCAAGATTGTTATTCAGTTGGGAGAACGGAGTGTGGGGTGGGGGGAGTGGGTGGGGTGGGGGGGGAGGGGGGTAGTGGGTGGGGTGGGGGGGGGAGTGGGGGGGGGTGTGGGGGGGGGGAGTGGGGGTGGGGGGGGGGAGTGGGGTGGGGGGGGGGGGTGTGGGGGGGGAGTGGGGGGAGTGGGGGATTGGGGGGGGGAGAGAGAGAGAGAAAGAATCAATGATACAGTTGTAACAATGAATGTAACAATGGATTGTAATGTTACTGTTAAAGAGATACATGGAGTCGGCGATGGATACAATGTAGCGCGGGGGGGGGGGGAGGGGGGGAGTCTGTGGCTTTGATCACATGCGCTGTGTGTGGCCACTGCCTCCGAAGTGGGTCGGAAATTTAATCCCATCTTCCAGATTGTAGAGAGAGAGAGTGTGTGGGGGTGGGAGAGAGAGTGTGGGGGGGGGGGAGAGAGAGAGAGAGTGTGGGGGGGAGAGAGAGAGAGTGTGGGGGGGGGAGAGAGAGAGAGAGAGTGTGGGGGGGAGAGAGAGAGAGTGTGAGAGGGGGGGAGAGAGAGAGAGATGTGGTGGGGGGAGAGAGAGAGAGTGTGGGGGGAGAGAGAGAGTGGTGTGGGGAGAGAGAGAGAGTGTGGGGGGGGAGAGAGAGAGTGTGGGGGTGGGGGAGAGAGAGAGAGAGTGTGGGGGGGGGGGGGAGAGAGAGAGAGTGTGGGGAGAGAGAGAGAGAGTGTGTGGGGAGAGAGAGAGAGTGTGGGGGGGAGAGGTGGGGGGGGGAGAGAGAGAGGTGTGGGGGAGAGAGAGAGTGGGGGAGTGGGGGGAGAGAGGGAGAGAGTGTGTGGGGGAGAGAGAGAGTGTGTGGGGGAGAGAGAGAGAGTGTGGGGGAGAGGAGAGTGTGGGGGGGGGGGGGGAGAGAGCGAGTGTGGGGGAGAGAGAGAGTGTGGGGAGAGAGAGAGAGTGTGGGGGGGGGGAGAGAGAGAGTGTGGGGGAGAGAGAGAGAGAGTGTGGGGAGAGAGAGAGAGTGTGGGGGTGGGGGGGGGGGGGAGAGAGGCTCTGTCACATGAAATAGCTGAGACACACACACACCGATCAGAGACAGTCAGTGGACAGGACACACAGGAGGGAAATTAGTTCCTTACAGAGTTAGTTGTTCACCCCTGTACCCCCCCCCTGTACCCCCCCCAACATCCACCCCCAACCCCCCCCCCCCCACACACACACACACCAACAGCGGTCCGGGGGGAGAGCAGCAATGCAGCCCAACCTGAGGAAGAGACATCAGTCGCCTCTGCAAACCCCCTTCTCCCGGGTCAGGTTGGTTACTTTCCTGTGGGTTGGGGGGGGGGGGGAGGGGATGGGTTTGATACACGGGAGGGATGGGGTGCGGGGGGGCACCGACTGCTGGTGAAACCTCTCCCTCTCTCCCCGGGGTGGGGGGGGGGGGGGGTCAGCTGCGACTCAAGTTTTTTTGGGTTGATTTCAGTGTGAAACCAACACATACCCCCCCCAACATACCCCCCAACATACCCCCCACACCCAACATACCCCCCCCACACCAACATACCCACCCCACCATACCCCCCCCCACACCACACCCCCCACACCCCCCCCACCATACCCCCCCACATCCAACATACCCCCCCCCCCCCCCACACACACACACACAGGCGCAGCACGATCGGTTGTTTGCATCCTCCTGGTGGTGGTGGTGGTGGGGGGGTGGAGAAGGAGAGGGGTGTGTGTGTGTGTGTGTGTATGGATGAAGTTACTTTGCTGAGAACTTTCTGATCCTTTCGTAGGAGAAGATAAAGGGGACAGATTTTCTTCTCTCCCCCTTCCCCCCCCCACCCTTTTTTTAAAATAAAAAAATCTGAGGACACTGTAGTTTTTCAAGAGGGTGTTGTGTGTGTGGCCGGGGGTGGGTGGGTGGGGGGGGGGGACTTTGCACAATATAATCCTTGCATTTGATACAGCGCCTCATCGCTCTCCCTCTCTCCCTCTCTCTCCCCTCCGTCTGATGTAGGAGTGCCGGGGGAGACTATGAGAGATCGGGGAGAAAGACGGAGTTTCACCGGGATCTGTGGTTCTTCTTCACCGTCCAGAACTGGGTCCTGGACTTCGGGCGTCCCATCGCCATGGTGACCAGTGATTCCAGGGGAAGGGGAGAGTGGTGGGGGGGGTGGGGGGGGAGAGAGAGGTGGGGGGAGAACCGACCGAACACAGACGTCAGCCAACTGCAACCAGTTCTTAATCGCTGTACTGCAATCTCAACACAGCTCGTACCATCATCTTTGCCCTCGCACGCTCATTGACACTAACATGCGCCCCCCCCCGCGCACACACACCACAGCCCCCCCCCCCCCCCCGCGCGCGCATACTCATTGACGCGCACACGCATGCAATGTACTTGCATGGTCACTGACTGACATCCCCACTCACACTCGTATCCTCTCACACACACACACTCACATTTACTCCCTCACGCGCACACGTATGTGTGCTCACACAAACACGCACGAGCATACTCACTCACTTTCACACACACACGCGTACGCGCAACGTATGTGTGCTCACACAAACACGCACGAGCATACTCACTCACTTTCACACACACACACGCGTACACTTGCGTCTGTACGCGCACTCACAGGAGCAATCACTTTGGTTGCCTTTGCGAGATCTCAGGCCCACTCAGTGTTGTGTGACAGAGGGTTCAGTGCGGGAGGAGACGGGGAGATTTGGAGGCTTTTGACCCGTGATTCTCTCTCCTTTCGACAGATCGCTCTTCCTCTCGAGTGGTTTCCTCTGAACAAGCCCAGTGTTGGCGACTACTTTCACATGGCTTACAACATCATCACCCCCTTCTTGCTGCTGAAGGTAGAGAGACGGACCTGTGACTGCGCCAGACACTGGGGAAGATTGGAGAGTCTCTGCTTAATGGCTTCTCCTTTCCCACTGGCTGGTTGGCTCTCACCGCACTGTATTTCACCCACAAAATACAGCCACGACACTTTACAATATATTCCGTGAAGCGCTCTGAGACGTCTCAACAACACGAATAAGGCGCTGTATCAGCAAGGATTATCATTAGTATTATTATTTATTTGATCTTTCCTCTCCGCTCCGCAGCTGATTGAACGTTCCTCCAAAACACTGCCCAGCTCAGCTGTCTACCTCTCGATCATCACCTTTGTGATGGGAGCCAGCATTCACCTGGTGGGAGACTCCATCAACCACCGGCTGATTCTCAGCGGTTACCAGCTGCACCTGTCTGTGCGGGAGAATCCCATCATCAGGGACCTGAAGCCACAGACCCTGGTAATTGGCAGCGCGTAGCTCAGGCTCTCCCTCTCACTCACTCACACCACTGGGTCAGAAGATTGTGGTGTTCTCCATCCCAGCCTGTGCGCACTTGGCTGCCACATCTCACCCACAAAATATACAGTCAATTCACTTTACGATATACAATTCTGTGAAGCGCTTTATACGACATCAGAATGGGTTTAACCTCTCCTCGTCTCTCCCACAGATCGACTCCTTTGAGCTTCTCTATTACTATGACGAGACTTTGGGTCACTTGATGTGGTGAGTAAAACGGAAATGAACCTTTCTTTCCCAATCGGCTATTTCACAGTTTATTTTACAGTTTATCCTGTGAAGCCCTTTGCGATAAGCCGCTGTAACAAGTAGAAGGATTATTATTATTATTATTGTAATTCGTTTGGGTTATTAAGCGCTCTGGGACGCTATATAAATGCAAGTTGTTGTTGTTTATTGTAATATTGGCCTCAGTGATTGGCTGCGGAAGAGGTTACACTGACCCACTGCTCTGCCTCTGCGTTGCAGGTACATCCCCTTCTTCATCATTATCTATCTGTATTTCACCGGCTGCTTCACGGCCAGGAAGGAGGACAGCAAGATGCCTCTGTCAGGATGGCTGCTGGTTGGGCCTAGCGGACTCTACTATTGGTGAGGAATAAAAAGAGTTCATTAATGAGCAGTTATTAATTATTATTATCATCATTATTATGTGTGGTGTCTGCCTGAACCCTGGGCCTTTGCAGCCTGGAGGAGCTCCACAGAGACATCACGGAATCTCAGCCCGGCTCCTCGCTCCTGTTTTCCAGGTACCTGGTGACAGAAGGTCAGATTTTCATCCTCTACATCTTCACCACATTCGCTATGATGGCCACTGTGATGCACCAGAAACGCAAGGGTCTGTTCCTGGACTGCAACGGCCTCTTCCTCTCCTACTCCTTCTACATCACCCTGGCTCTGGTGGCTGGCTGGGTGGGCTTCCTCTGGAACGACAAGGTTCTGCGCAAAAAGTATCCTGGGGTCATGTACGTGCCAGAACCCTGGGCTTATTACACCCTCCACATCAAACCACACTGACTGGCACCTCTCTCACCCCTCCACCCGCATCACCACTCACCCCCTCGCCCTGACTGACTGACACCCCTCAGCCTCCACATCAATAGATAGAATAGATTTATCATTACTTTTTTTTAAAAAAAAACGTAAAACAACTCTTCTGCTTAACCTGGAGATAGCACCAGCGGGGTATCAGAGAGAGGGTTTGGGGGCTCATGTGGAGTATAAATACTGGCAAGGACTACTTGAGCCAAACGGGCTGTTTCCATGGCTGTAGCGTGTTGTGTAGTTGTATGTAATGTGGGAGGATCTCGCGTTAAGTCCGCGTTAAACCTTAAGAGATTTAACCGTGAGTTTAGAGGGAGGAAACCCCACATTCCAAGCTGAGGCCGGGTAGGGGTGGGGTGGGGGGATGGAGGTCGGAGGTGGGGGGTATGTGGGATTCTCTGCCTGCCCCACCCGCCAGTGTGAGGCACAACCCATCACTTCCTTTCCCGTCATTTTGGCCAGGGTGTGAAACGGTTGTCTCCTCGTGAGCTGATGGAACATTCCATTCCTACATCTTATTACAGTCATTTTCATTGTTTGGGTGGGGGGGGTTGGGGGGGGGCAGGACTTTGATAACAATCGTTACTCTCCGCCACAGGAGGAAAGTTACACGTAGACATTTACACCAGACCTTTACAGAACCCCTTCCCCCCTCTCAAAGAGGAGCCGCTGTGTGCACCCACAGCCACGGTCTTGTGACAGAATGTTCTTACCTACAGTTCGTAGTCTGACGTCAAACTGTTTAGTTTTTCCTGTTAAATTAAAGCAGAATTTCTTTACGAAGCAGTTCTTTTTATTCTGTCACATTTGCATTCTCTCCCTCCCCAAACCCTGTTACCCTGGAACTCTCTGGGGTTAGGTAAACTGGGGGGGGGGGGGGTCCCTGTAAATCACACCCTAGCATCTCCTGAGCTCTCTGATCTTGTACTTTACTCCTCTTCTACCCCAAACCTTCTAAAGCAGCAGCCAATTGTGCACAGCAGTGTCCCACAAACAGACATGGATTGAGAGATTATTACCCTCAATCAACTAACAACCGAGTTCCTACTGACTGCGAATAAACAGAGACGCGCGTATGTGTGTGTAGTAAGGAAACTTGCCCAACGTTTCACCCTGACCCGCCTGGGAATCAAACCCGGTTCCTCTCGCTTGCGAGGCGAGTGTTCTAGCCGCTATGGTATGGGACTCGAACTTGAACCTAGAGTGAGGGGAGCTACGCACATGTGCTGGGGGTGGGGGGAGGCTGGGCTGAGGTACTGCTCCCCTCACTGTAGGCTGTGAGGAATGGCGAAGGAATGAAAGCGAAGGAGCTTTGATGATAAAGGGAGTAACAGAGGATTGAGATGTTTGCAAGTCGTTGTCCGTGGAGCTCGATTTCACATGAAAATCCCAGCTCGCAATCAGCATATGGAGTACTTTACTGACATCTATAATAACCTTTATGTTTGATACGCCATCTTTCAATGTCAGGTGGATGTCACTTAGTGCTTCACAGGATTCACTGTAATGTGTAGTGACTGTGTGTTTGACCCCATTAAACCGGGGACTGTCCTCCATAGAGCTTGTGCCCTAGATTGCTTTACAATTCCCAACAATAATCCTGTGACAGATTTACCCTGGATTAAAAGCCTGCGACCTATATTCCTCTCTATCTCTATTCTCCCTCCCCCAATTCTCTTGTGTGGAAGGATCATAGAGAGAGAGACACACACACACACACACACTCTCGCCATCATCATTTTGCCTGGGAAACTCAGTAATAATCTCAGGCCTGAATTCCCACCGGGTCTCTTCCTGGCTGCCAACATTTGTGTTTTAAGATTTAATTGTTGCTTTAATTGCTCTGAACTGTGGCCAATTCCTGAAGCCAATGTTAATTTGGTTGACGGACGGATTAGTTGTGTAAAATTAGGAAAAGCCACCGTCACCTAATACTAATGTAATAGTTCAACAGGAATTTGATACAGCACCTCGCCATGTCGTCAAAATGTCCTTCAGTGCTTCGCAGGATTTGCCGTCAAGTGTAGTGACTGTGTATTTTGTAGGTGAACGTGGGAGTCAATTCGAACACAGCGATATCTCACAGACAGCCGTGAAGTGAATAAGCGATTTTATTCGGGGGATTTGTCGGATACAGGACTCGGGCATAAGGCAACATCTTTATCCTCAGTTTAACGTCTTTTTCAAAACATGGCGTCTATGACCTTGTAGCCCCCCCCCCCCCCCAGCACTGTGTTGCAGTGTCAGCGCAGGCTGATTTGGGTCTTGAACCCATAACTCTCTGACCCAAAAGACCAGAGTGCTACCAACTGAGCCATGGCAAGCTGTGCAGGTTTAGTTGGTTAAGACTCCAGTAGTTACCCCAACTCACACAGACCCAAGCCTTGGCTCTTACCAACCTGCGCCTAATACTCTCCAGAATTAGATAAACAGGAAGCGTCCCTCCAGGGAGACAGAGAGCGCATTCCATTCCAACAATCTATCTCTGGGATTCCCGTGTGGAGGCTCAGATACATGGAATTCTCAGATTGGTTTGGAGACTCTTGAGCAGCGGTGATGGGTTTCCGTGTGTGTCAGACACCCGACTAATGTGAGACGTAGCAGGAGGAGCGCTCTGTGATAGAGATCCTGTTCACTGTCAGTCAGTGACAGACAATAGACTGTGCGTCGGGCAGATTAAAGGATGGGCCTGGAATCTGACCCCGCTGGGAGCCTGGTGCGGAAACCATAGCAACCGGGGGATTTATTGGATCCGGTGGACAGCCGTCACCCAGATGGACAGACTTTGGAGCGTAATTAGATCGAGGACGGGAGAGAGGCTGACAGTCTGACACGAACCCTCCCGGTCACAGGAGGCAACAGAAAGTGGGGCGAGAGAGAGAGAGAGAAACATGGTAAGGCCAGAGTGCTGGAGGTTGGAGAACCCACTCTGTGGAACAAAACAACTTCACTAAAACTCTCTTTTTTCGTTTCTCCCCCCACCCCATTTATTGATTTTCAGGCAAAGTTCCTCTCTCAGGATCAGATAACCGGTAAGTTTCAACCTTTGGAAAATGTGGGGGTGGTGGTGGGGGAGAGAAGAGGCTGCATTGTTAGAGACATTGTCCTTCACACCCCCCCACCCCCCCCACCTCATCTGGGCCCTGTTCAGGTGGATGTTAAAGATCCTGTGGCGCTGCTCAGAAAGAAATGGGAGTTTCTCTCTCCCAGTCCCAATAAATAAATAATAATTTTGTAAATAGTAAATAATTCGGTCACTCGAGCCACGGCTGTTTGTGGGACAGACGCTGCTGTGCGCAAGTGGCTCCCGTGTTTCGCCCACAAAATATACAGTCAATTCACTTTACAGTGTATCCTGTGAAGCGCTTTGAGACATCTCGAGGACTTGATCAGACGCTGTGTCAAATGCAGGGATTATTATTGTTAGTATTATTATTATTATACAGCTCACGTGTAATGTCTGTTTCTAACCCCTCACCCCCACCCGCCAGAATATAAGGAATGCTTCTCCTTTTACGACAAGAAACACAAGGGGAAGATAACGGCTGGCGACCTGATCACAGTGATGCGCTGTCTGGGCACCAGCCCCACTCCACCCGAGGTGCAGAGACACCTGCACAGCCACCGCATAGGTAACCGTGCCGAGGCTCCACATCACACACCTCCAGCATATTACCAACCACTGCCACGTAGCCCTGTCATTCACACTCACCTCCGGTTCAGAAGGTTGAAGCGAGAGGACCCGGGTTCGATTCCCAGGTGGTGCAAAACCTTCGGCAAGTTTCCTTACCCCCACGCGCCTCTGTTTACTTCACTTTCCGTGGGTAATAATCCCTAAAAATAAAATTGGGTCATTTCTGTGAAGCACTTTGAGACGTCAAAACGTGATAAGGCGCTGTATCAAAAGGATTATTATGCTAAACATATCTCAGGCGAGGCGAGCCCACTGACCACTACTCAATGGACTTGTTTTTTTTTGCAGATAGGAACGGAGAGGTGGACTTCTCCACGTTCCTGGCCATCATCCACCAGCAGCAGCAGCAGGAGGACCCAGCCCGGGAGATCCTGGAGGCCATGACCATGGCGGACACCCAGAGGAATGGCTACATCACTGTCTCTGAGCTCAGGACCAAACTGACGTGTACGGGGGAGAGACTGACCGACAAGGAGGGTGAGAGCAGAGAGAACGAGGCACAGGGCAGGCAGGCAGATTGGCTGCCTGAAAACTCAAATAATAATAATAAACCTTGAATTAAATACGGCGCCTTATCACGTCTTTGAGACGTCTCAAAACGCTTCACTTTGTATTTGGTGGGTGAAACTTGTCAGCCAATTGCGCAGAGCAGCGTCCCACAAACAACCACGGACTGAGATACATTTCTCCCCGTGTCCTGGCCAACAATTTTCAGATAAATCAGTCGATCATCTTCTCAAGCGCTGGTGGAGCCCTGCAGTGCACAAAATGACAGTCACTACACTGGACAGTAATTAGTGAAAACATTTTGCGACACAATAAGGAGCAAAAAAAAAACCCAACATAATCTCACTCGATCTCCTTCTTTCCAGTTGACGATCTCCTGAAGGAAACCAACGTGAGCCCGTATGGGGTGGTCAGATATAACCAGTTTGTCAACATGCTCATGCTGCCCTCACCTGATTACTGACCGCCAGCCCACACACCACAGCTTCCCATCGAGACGTTCTGTCGACCAGTCACTGCCTCCAGCTCCTTAGTGCCTTGTGGTGTTTTACTGTGTGGCCAACACACTGAGCTGTTAACAAGACTGTGTTATTGCGGTTAGTATTCATGGGAGGTTGGGTGGGGGAGAGGAATAAAGGACATTGCCTGGAGGGGGACTGCACATCTTTGCCTACAAAAACACTCGACTGTAATTACGCGTGAAGTTTTAGTTGTTTAAACAGTAAGAATATTAAATATAATTTAATGTAAAATTCCATTTATTTCAATGAACTACAAAACACAGTCACTACATTAAACGGCAATTCCTTGTGAAGCGCTTTGAGATGATGTTGTGCTTAGAGACATCCCTTCATTCCAACCCAGTGCAGTCAGTGTTCTCAGTGGAGGAAGTTTCAATAGCAGGACCAGAGATGGATGGAAATACTACTAATATAATAATCCTTGCATTGAAATAGCGACTTATCACATCATTGAGACATCTTTTAATAATAATAATAATCCTTGCATTTGATATAGCGCTTTTCATGTCGGGAGGACATCCCAAAGCGCTTCACAGAACACACTGTAAAGTGAATTGACTGTATATTTGTGGGCGAACGCGGCAGCCAATTGCGCACAGCGATGTCCCACAAACAGTTGTGGGTTGAAAATGACCAATTTATTATTGTTTTTGGTTTTGGAGGATTATTATTAGGCTCTGTGTGGAGTAAGGAAACTTGCCCAAGGTTTCGCCGTCTGCCTGGAATTGAACTCAGGTCTCTCACTTGCAAAGCGAGTGCTCTAACCACTGAGCTATAGGACTCCACACTTTTGCTTAAGCTTCTTTGAAACTTGCCTAAGGTTTTACTCTGCCCACTAGTCAAACCCAGGTCCTTTTGTTTGTGAAGCGAACGCTCTAACCACATTACAGGACTCCACTTTTTTCAGCGACCTGAGCAGTCAGAATAATTTACCAATAGGCAATAGAGGCAGAAACACCCAGACTTGTCACAGCAGTCAGAGCCCGACAGGAGAGCTAATGAGCTGAGGGGACAGATCCAGCGCGTGAGTTGGCACAAGGCAATGGACAACTCAATCAAGAGTTAACTCTTTTGATCAAAGCAATTTTCAGGAGATGCAGCTTCTGAATCGGTCCGCTAGGAAGCAGCACTGGGAACAAGGGAGATTAAGATTGAAACCATCTGTGTTAACACTTCACACCCTCTCTGCTGCCTACTGATGATTTTATTTTCCATCTCCTTAAAAGTACGCAATCAGACTTTCTGGGGATGAAAGGTTACTTACATTCACTGCAACAGCCTCCTGCTCAGCATTCTTTAGAGAAAGTTCTCCAACCTCCCACACTACCCCACCCCAATTGCTCAGTAGATGAAGTTGTAGAATAGTGACAGCTATACTTGCATTTGATATAGTCCCTTATGTCATTGGATGTTGACCTGTTAACCCCGCAAGCCAAAGCCCCAACGGGTAGGGTGGTCCTAGCTGGATAAACAGGGGGCAAGCTTGCCAGGCAGCGATATCAATGGCAATCAATGGCGAGAGAGAGAGAGAGCGCATTCCATTCCAACAATCTATCTCTGGAATTTCCATGTGTAGGTGGGATACATGGAAATCTTAGTTTGGTTTGGATCCTCTTAAGCAACGGCGATTGGTTTCCGTGTGTGTCAGACGTGCGGCTGAGTAAAAAAAAATCGTTGGACGTGAACGTCTGTGTGGGCTCAAACTTCGAACCGGGCGCCGAATAAAAAAAAAATTAACCTTTTAAAAATAAATGCAGGGTCTGGGCGGGCGGGTCAGTGGATGACATGATGAACACCGGGTGTGCGGACAATGAGCGAAACAAACATGGACTCGGTGGGACTCGGAATAGAATTGAACCTGCGCCGAGCGGCCACCGGAGGGCGACCTTCAGGACCACATTCTTCACCGTTTTCTCAGTCTCATTCTGTGAATATATTTTATACTTTATATTCCCTGCATTTGAAATACAACAGGACAGGAAGTGAATGGCTAGTGATGTGTAGGTGATCGTTGGCCAGGCCACTGGGAGAAACTCCCCTCTCTTTTTTTTTGCATAGTTTCCGTGGGATCGACCACAACAACAACGTGCATTTATATAATGGCCCCTAACCATGTCCACCTGAATGATCAGCCCTCGGTTTAACATCTCATCTGACGGACAGTACCTCTGATGATACAGAGCTTTCACCCACTGGGGAGTATGTACTGTATTTAAGTGTCAACCTGGACTATGCGCTCAAAATCCCAACATGGGACTTGAACCTTCAACCTTCTGACTCAGGCAAGAGCCCTACCAACCGAGCCGGCTAACACTGAGCACCTCCAGACATAACACCTTCAAATAAGATGAACATCTCAAAAGCCTTTGCGGAGGCGATGGGGAAAGATGATCGTCGCCGCCGAGCAGGAAAGGAAAGGCAGGCGAACATTAGGATGTGCACCGTTCAAACTGAATGTTTTTAAAGAGGGTTTTTTGGAGGCATTGAGGAAAGTCACAAAGCCACAGAATTTGGGATGCTAAATTCTCCCCGAAGTACTTCTGTGCACGTCTCATCTTTTTCTTTTAAACAAAATCCTTACCACGGTTAACAGCAAGATCGGTCCAATTAGAACACAAAAGCGGCAAGTTCCTGCTCTCTCTGTCAGGCTGTGTCCAGGGGTTGGATGAGTCGAGAAGCATCGCTTCTTGTCAGGGAGAGCCAACCCACTGTGGACTCATTAATTTCTTAGTTTTACATTTCTGTCTTCTAACTCCCCCATCACCGCCCCACATTAGCACTCAATTCTGACGACGCTGATCGATGAGTTAAGAGGGGATGAAATGGTTAAGGATTAGATGTGAAATCCTAGGGAGGCGCTGTGTTTCACTGTTTTTTTTGATGATACCCAGGGATTTTTTTTATGTATAATAAAAAGGTTAAAAATAGATGCAAGTGAAGAGAGACTGAAACCAAACAACAAATGTTATTTTAAGCAGCAAGAGAGACATTGGAAATGAAGCTTCATGGGGGGTGGGTGGGGGTGCTTTCCTGTGTCTTGGATACCAGTCTGTCTTTTGGGGAGGGGGGGGGGGAGAATGATTATAGATAATTAGCAAATCCAGCAAATGCCCAGCTCCCTTCTGCATGCGAATGATCACAAGCCGGAGGTAAGTACAGGGACTGGGAAACAGCAACATGCAATCATAGAATTATTTTTGTGTGTGTGGGTGGGGGAGGGGGAATATCTTTTTGCTAATCATTTCTTTGAGCAAATAGCACTGTCTGGTGATTTTCCACTCAGCAAAGCTTCTTTATTAATAAAAATAAAAGCACGCGGGTCACTCCTACTGATAGAAAATGTAGGACATTAATTGCTTTTAATGAAAAAAAGATCAAGCGTTGGTTTATATTTGAGCCTCAGCGTGTAAGTTTGCTGCAGCTTAAATTAGACAGGAGTGGAGGAGGAAAGTGTGCGCGCGCGCTGTGATTTGCTCTACGTTTCCATGGGATTATATCAGCATGTGGAGAAGCGAGGCTCAAAATAATTAATGCAATAATGGTTACATAATAATAATCCTTGCATTTGATATAGCACCACATTAGCTCTTCGAGATGTCTCGAATAGCTTTACGGAATATACTGAAAAGTGAATTTTATTGTATTTTGTAGGTGAAACGCAGCAGCCAATTGCACACAGGAGTGTCCTACAATCATGGATTGAGTGACCAATTTTTTTTTTTAAGGATTATTACCCCCAGAAAAATGATCCACCAATCGACTATGTGGAGAAGCGATGTTCAAAATACTTAATGAAATATAGTAGTCACATAATAAAGTTGAGACAGGTAATGCACCCAGTGGGTCAGCTAGGATGTGATGCGTATGTGTTGGGGGTACAGGAAGGAGGATGGGTGGGGGGGTTGGAAGTGCAGGAGGCAGGGAGGTGCATGTGCGTTGGGGTGGGGGAAGAAGGGAGGTTTGACTCACCTCAAAAGCACAGCATGGAAGATCTGAAGGGCGAAGGTGACAGCCTACTTATGAACTGTCAATGGTCAGCAGCGAAGCAATGCTGCTTTGGTTGTTGGGAGTTCAGTAAATCAGCCATTTCCACCAGCTGTGCAAATGTCTACTGCACAAACCCCAAAGCTAAACTCTGCAAATTAGCTCAGCCTTTAATGCGTGTGTGCGTGTGTGTGGTTGTGGAGGGGTAAAATATAAGTCGGGAGATATTTTCCGACTGAATCAGTGACCAGAGGATGCACCAGACACAAGCCCACGCTGTTACCTGCCCAGAACAGATTCTGCCATTCTAAAAACTGAATAAACCTTGCATTTGATTTGGTGCCCATAACATCGAAGCGTCTCAAAGCATTTTACAGGGAATTGCGGTCAAGTGCAGTCCCTGTGTATTGTATAATACCTGCATTCAATACAGTGTCTTATCACGTGGTTGGCACACCCCAAAGCTCTTCACAGAATAAACTGTGGAGTGACTGTATATTCGGTGGGTGAAGCAGGGCAGCCAATTGGGCACAGCAATGTCCGGCCATGAAGCCACAGTGAACGAGCACTTGATCTGGAGGACTGATGGGTCAGGATAGCGCCCTGGGGGAGTTCCCACGTAAGACAACACAGCTCTCCGCCCAGTACTGTACAAAAGCGTTGACGCTGAACTCACAGGCCCAGCCGTAAGACAGCAGGAAATCCAAGCAAAGAAACAGAAAGATTACCTACCAACCAGGAGGCAGTCTTCAGTCTTTTACTGTGATAACATCTTGCAAAATCACAATGAGATGTTGGCTGATTCCACCTAAATCCTGACCCTCCTCGGGGAGGTGGGGGTGGGGAGAGAGAGAAAGGAATTTCAAAAGGGACACTTTCTCTTTACAAATTCCTGTCGCTATGTCAGCAACACGTGGGCAAAAACAATATTGGGTGCAGCTCTTACCACTGGGAACTTTATGCTCTTTTATTACATCTAAAAGATCTCTACATAACAGGTAACATTCATTAGGTAAACAATTTCTTTCAATGCATGAAATAAATATTTTCACGTGGTACTTTATACAAACTGACATTGGTCTACTATACACATTTTTAAAAAAAAAGCCATTTCTCTGGTTTTGGCATGCGGTTCAGAAAAGCTAACAAACACTGTGAAAGACTTTTTAAGGCAGTAAAAGCGAGAAGTGTTTTGGAAGATGAGGGCTATCTCTCTAACACTTCTAGAGAAGTCATCAGAGAACTTATATAAACCACTGGAAAACTGTGAGGGGTGGTAGACAGGTTATAAATTTACTCCTTGTGGCAGGCAGTTAAGAATGGACTCAACATCAGCACTGACCAACTCACTGACAGGTTAAGTAATGCTGTGTAGAAATGCATTTGCTTAAAAAGATTCAAATGGAGGGGTTTGGGCAAAAAAATAAACACGTGGCACATTGATGCCAACCAAGCAGAGTATAGTCGACTACAAATAAACTCATCCTATCCGAGTAATCATTAGGTGATGAATACACCAGAAGCAGTCTTCACGCACGTTCATTAAATGGTTGCGAGTCTTATTAGAAACCGACCCTACTCCTGCCCAAACACTACAAAGCCAAAGGAAATTGCATTCACTTACAACTGCACAGAGAGAAAGATCGGCGCAGACTAGAAGGGCCAAATATCCTGTTTCTGTTCTGGAACATTCAACGATTCTAACGTTTGATTGTAATGTGCTATCTACCCCCTCCACACCCTTTCCCTGATTGGATCTGATTCCCTGCAGAAGCCTCAAGTGCCAGACTTTATACACACACACAAACATAGAAACACGGACAGACATACAGATGCACACATAGAAACACTGACAGACATACAGACACACACACGTACAAACACAGACAGACAGACGCAGAACAGTTTTTATAGGACTACAAATATTTCCAACTTTGCTTCTTTGGGCCTTTGAAACTCGAAAGGAGACAGAGGTAGGATGTAGGCTGAGCCTTACACTGAAACACGTCCCCCTTTCCTGTGATTAAACTTGTTCCTGTCTACATACAAGAAATTGCTGCCAATTTTTTCTCTTCTGAGGTGGGGGTGTGGGAGAGAAAGGAGAGAGAAGTGTGAGGAAGAGAGAGAGAAATTGTGACAGAAAACTCCTGCGTCATTTGTCAGGATGTCAAGACACAAGTGACACAATGATTGATGTGCATTTTCAACCATGGATCGATGGAAATTTTAATCTTGTGTTGTGTGGCCAAATTAAGCTTCCTAAAAGGTACATTGTGTGGCATGCAAGCCACACAAAAATCTCTCCCCTCACACACACAAAGCAGGACTAAAATTGACTTTGAATGCACTGACAACCTGGGCACATTCTTGAAGTGGAATAGGGGTTGGGGGGGGGGAACGGTTAAAAAGAAAGGTAGAGAAAAGACAAGTAACTAGCAGGAACGGGCTCAACCTAAGCAATTGCAAGTTCTGCCTTATTCAGTACATTCGAGGGGTTGCAGTAGCTTAAATCGACTTCCAACGCTTTCTCCAGAGGAGGATTTTAGAACATTCATCTCGAAAAACAATCTGATGTGTAGAGAGGAACGGACCAGTGCCAAACACTTATTGAAAATCCCAGTGCACTGGGAAACAGGAAGAACCTCAACACTGTGGAACATGAACAATCAGTAAGTCAGGGAAGGTGCAGGGCAGTTGAGTTGGTGTTGTCCCCTCCATACACAGCCCAAGGTGCTGATCTCAGCGCTTTGGGACATCCTCCTGATGTCAAAGGCGCTATATAAATGTAATTTGTTGTTGCTGATCTCAGCTGAGGCAATGGGGACAAGCAGCCAATGGTTATCATGTGATTCAACCCATTAAGCAGGGGATTTATTGTGTGTATATATATATATATATATATGAGTGTATAATTTGCCATCGTCTGTTTTCATGACTCCCTCAAACACAACGGAAACTCACCAATAAGGTTAGTAATTGGACTGAGGGATTTTGACCACCTCTGCAGGTTGACCTCCTTCACGAGGGAGGCTGTGCTACTGTACTATATAAAGTTGAAATGAAAAAGACTGCCACGAAAAATAAACTGACCGGGTTAGCAAATTGAGCGCATTAGTGGGCAGCCTTAAAGTGGTTTCCATTGCAGTTGGCGACAGAACATCTGTAAAGGTTACTTTGCACACAAAAAAATGTAAGGCGGCAGGGAGGAGTGGGAAAGCAGTAATAAGAGGATTTCTTTTTCAAAAAAGAATTTAGAGCCAATAAGAGAATTTTCCCACAGCAATGGAAACACAATTGCACCACCCAATCTTGAAAGCGGCCACTTCAATAAATGGAGCTACAGAAGGAGGCTACTCTTCAGAAGACATAATTAAAATAAAGCCAATTTGTAAGTTGAAAGACTAACAGCAAAGGTTGAATAGTTTCTCATCATCCCTCCCCCCGCCCCTCCCCGTATGAACCAGAAATGGCCTTTTTTGAAAAACTGTACTGATGCTTCTGCACTCCCAAAAGCTACTTCCTGCAAGAGCGCAGAGGGAATGATGTGGAAACAGTCAAGATAAGATACTTTACATAACTTAAAGGTATAATAAAACTATCTGCACACAAAAAAAATGCTATTGTCCGTCAACCATTGACATCTCAATCCTTTCTGAAAGAAAGCTACACTGACCGGAGGAGAAGAACGTAAAAATTCCTAATCATATAATGTCACTGTGAGGTGTTGGGGGGGGGGGGTAATAATAATGCCATTCAATGCCAGCAAATACAAAAGTAATATCACTTAACAGGCAAATACGCTGTAAAAACTCTGCGTTTCACAAAGTTAACTGAAATAACCTTAAAAGACAGACCAGTCTCGAATTTATATACAAAAGTTAACTGAAAATATAGTATTTTGTTCTCTGTACATGGTGTTTTTTTTTAAAAACTTTTTTGTGTTGTTTATTTTAAAAAAAGGGTCTCTACATTTCTAAAAATTTTTTTTTTTTTTTTTTTTTTAAAAGGTGAAACAAACCACACGGTCGTCCTTCTCTTCTCCTGATTCTCCTCTCCCCCTCCTTGCCCCCTTTCCCCTCCCTCCCCCCAAAAACAAACACGTAAAGCATCCGTATCCATTGTTTCTGAAGCTTTTAGTCCAAAGAGATGACGTCGGGCATAGCGCCAAAGATGGTCGCGGTCTCGGCAGCGCTCCGGGTTGCCGCAGCGTGTCCGTGGTTTTCCCGTAAGCTGCTGGAGGAGACCAGGCTACTATTGCTGCCACTACTGTTGCCGTTGGTCACGGCCAGCGTGCTGACGGGCGCGGAGTTGGGCTGCTCCAGGTACATCTGCGACGAGCTGTACGGGAAGAAACGGTTGAGCGACGAGTGAATGAGGTCTTGGTCCTCGGATGCACTGGCAGCGGCGGCCGCAGCGGCCAGCAGAGACGTGTTGTAATGCTGAGCGGGAACAAGAGGGAGTCGAGTTAACGTACAGATCATAAGACGTGTGTGTGTTCCAACAGATTCCCTCCCCCCGGAGTAACACCGAGTCACACCGCGCTAGGAGGCCCCAAGGTCGGTGTGTCGTGATTTATTAATAACAACAATAATCCTTGCATTTGATTTAGTCCTGGGTTTACCTTCCCGATTACCGTTCATTCATCACCACCTGGAAATTTTGTGAGCAAACATGGGACAGAAGACTAGACCAGGTCGCAGTTTCTGTCCTTATTCTCTCTCTGCCAGAAGATACCAATTTGTGCTTTCATGAGGACTTCATCCCAGTTCCAGTCCTTTTGTGCAAAAAACAGTCGGTTGACTATTCAATGGGGGATCTATTCTATCTACACACACTTTCTATCCCTTTGGGTGGTGGGGAGGGGGGGTAACGACAATGACTAGAGTAGAAAACCCGACTGATTTTTCCCTTGCAAACTCCCTGAGGTTAATTGGAGTGCCCAACACAGACCCTCCGCAGATCAGCAAACTCAGCCGCAACCGGGAGAAGAACCCACAACCTTCCGGTCTGCATGGCTTGGATCGCACTGGATCTGTACCCACTGGGCTAACACCAGTCCTGCCGCTGGCTTCCCAGAGAGTGGTCTGATCATGGTCCCGCTAACAGGGAAGTCAGTATATCACGCGCCTGGAATTAATATTCTCTCTCTCTCTCTTCCCCTCCCCCACTCAGTCTTCCATTCGCACAGGAAACGTAACCTGCACTTAATTAAATTTCATTTGAAGTTTTAAATGTTGCCTCTCGCAGGCTGGTGTAAATAATTTGCACTGCCTTATTGCACTGGTTCGAGAATCTAGACCTAGATGAACTGACACACGTACCATACGAGAACGATGTGAAACAAACCTTAAAGAACACAAGTGCCAGATGGCAATGCCACATACCTGATTGTCCCCTTGTAGGAAGGGAAATAGGTCTAAGCCTATTGCAAAAAGAGAAGAAAATACAATTAGAATTTGCAAGCATCAGTTAAACGCACTATTTCTCTGCAATTCCTGTAGCAACAAATGAGGTTTCACTGTTCTCCCCTGGGTAATGGGGTTTGGTTAAAAGGAATTTAATACAACAACAAGATTACATTTGTATAGCGCCTTTCATGTCGGGAGGATGTCCCAAGGCGCTGGACAGGGAACAGCATTTCAGATCCGAGCTGGGGTTAGGGGTTTAAGGGAGGGGAGGGGAAGGGGGGTGGCCGATGGCATGGTCGAAGAGGAGGGTCTTGAAGGAGGCTAAGGAGGGGGCAAGGCGGAGTGACTGGGGATGGAATTCCAGAAGTTGGGGGCAGAGTGGCTGAAGCCTCTCCCGCCAATGGTGGGGCGGGTGGGTCGGGGGACGTGGAGCAGGCCAGCTGAGCGGACAGCAGAGGGAATGGGCGGGTTGGTAGGGGCTTAGGAGGTCGCACGGGTAGGGTGGGGGGAGGCCATGGAAGGCTTTGTATGTGAGGACCATGATCTTGAACTGGATCCTCTGAAGGATAGGGAGCCAATGGAGTCAGGCAAGAGTGGGGGAGTTTGGTGTGGGAAAGGACATGGGCTGCAGAGCTCTGGATTATCTGCAGCCTGTGGAGGGAGGAGTTGGGAAGGCCGACAAGCAGGGCGTTTGCAATAGTTGAGCCTGGAGGTGATGAAGGCATGAACAAGAGTTTCAGCAGCCTGAGGGGTGAGGTAATGGTGGAGTCAGGTGATCTTATGGAGGTGAGGGAAGGCAGAGCAGGTCATGGCTTGGATGTGGGGGAGAAGACAGTTGAGGGTCGAACAAGACACCGAGGTTCCTGACTGGCTTGGTGAGTTGTAGTGTGCAACCATGGAGGTTGATGTTGCCAGAGCCTGAGGTGCTGACACGAGCCAATCAGGAGGGCCTCAGTTTTGTTCACATTCAACTGTAGCTCTCATCCAGGACTTGATGTCTGACAGACAGTCTGTCAGGACAGCAGTGGTCCTGGAGTTGAGGGTGGAGGCAGAAAGATAGAGTTGGGTGTCATCCGCATACATATGGAAGTTGACTCCTTGTCTGCGGATGATGTCACCAAGGGGGAGCATGTAGATATTAAAGAGGAGAGGGCCAAAGACAGAGCCCTGGGGGACACCAGACATGACAGTGTGGGGGCTGGAGGAGAAACTGTTAGAAGCAACAAAATGGAGACGGTGAGAGAATCGAACCAGGCAAGGGCAGATCCGTGAGGATTGAGTAAAGTGGAGAGGCGGTGTATGAGGATGGAGTGGTCGACAGTATTGAATGCTCTCTCGTGATTGAAGAAGGGGTATGAGTGTAGGTGCTGGTGACGGGTGTGGGACAACCTCAGGCAATACTATTCCATTCTTCTCATCACAAAGCCTTACCGCCTACTAACAAGACCGTGCTTGCCAGCAGTCGGCACAAGAGACTTACCTTGCAGCTCGTACGGCAGTGTTGGTAAGTGGTACGAATGTCGGTAATCTTGAAAAGGCGTGGAAATAAAGTTGGTGTCAATCGCTGGCATGCTTGGAGCTCTGGCGACTGGCGATGCCTGATGGTGCAGGTTTAACACCCTGTCGGAAAACCCAACAGAAACACAGATGTCAAACCCAACCTGCTGTGCTCTGTACACTACGGTAACTGGTTCTGGGGTATTGTGTTGACAGGCTAGATGACTAAAGGAGCATCAAAGCCAGGCCTGACCCTGTCCTCATCAGATATCCCCACCCACTCCCACACCCAGAGCAGTGATCAAGAAGCCATCAAACAGCAATCCAAACTCTTGATTTTCCTAATCCAGGGAGACTGTGCAGCTCCTGGATCCTAGATCAGGGACTGAAGCTGAGAAATGCAGCTGATTAATGGCCCTAAGTGCTAGATTGAGGCCAGAACTTTTAGCTGGTTACAATGGTCCTGCAAGAACCAAAATTGTGCTTTAGAGAGTCTACAGAGAAAGTGTTAAGAAAACCACCAATAAACCAGCTAACAACACAGGTTAGTAAAATATTTTGCTTTGCTCTAAATTTTATCCTGAGGAGGCAATAAAAAGACGGTGGTTATGAGGAGCCAGCGGTGCTGATGGTAAACTCACCCCTTGTTATTGATTGGCGGTGACGGGGAGGAGATGGAAGGGTAACTCCTCTTGGCTGGCGGCTCTTCCTCCTCCTCGTCGGACGAACTGTCCAGCGTGAGATCGATCACCTCAATCCTCCTGTTGTCATGAGACTGTCTGTGTTCTGTCAAAGAACTTTTACACGCACCTAGCAGAAAGGTTGGCGCAGACAGGCATTAATCCCTCAACAGCTACGCAATACTTGTTATCAGACATTTTAAAAAGATTAATTCCCAGCACACCAGAAATAGATGCTTCCAGTGGCATGATAAGTCACTGCACACATAAGGTCAGTATCACACCACAGAAGAGAGACAGCGTTCTGGCTTGTTGCACGGGGAAGTTCAAAATTAATCACAATGTTGAAAACTTATGTCAATTTGTGCTGAGTTTTGGCAGTGCTGTATTGTGGACTTAAAACAGGAGTTATAACAATAATCCTTGAATTTGATACAGCGCCTTATATCTTGAGACATCTCAAAGTGCTTCATAGAATATACTGTAAAGTGAATTGACTGTATATTTTGTGGGCGACACTTGGCAGCCAATTGCGGACAGCAGCGTCCCACAAACAGTCGTGGATTGAGTGACTAAATTATTATTATTTTTTGAAGGGATTATCACCCAGAAAATCGATTCGCCAATCGACTAACAACGGGGTCTCTATTTACTCCTAGGCAAACAGAGGTGTGTGGAGTAAGGAAACTTGGCTAACGTTTCGCCTTGCCTGGCAATCAAACCCAGGTCCCCTCGCTTGTGAGGCTCTAACCACTACAGTACACCAATCTAAGTGTGGTTTTGTATCTTAATATGAGCTGAACTTGAGGTCAGGGTCAATAAGTGATGGTTTTATACACTGAAACTCTAACACACAGTACACACCATCTACTCCATTATAGGTGGAATTCACTTCTTGAATTTCTTTCTTCAATCGCATTGGAGACCAGGCACCATCTTCCTTAAACTGGATTTCATCACAATCTGTGCAGCAATTCAGGATTTCCATAAACAATCTGTATTTAAAAAAGAAACCAAGTATTAATCTTAATTTTTAAAAAACTTATTTTAAAAAAAGTAACCCATAAAAAGCTTCATTGGTACTGTTCTTGGAAAACAACCATCTAATAATATGATCCTTACATTTGATATAGCGCCCTATCATGTCTTCAAGAAGTCTCAAGGCACTTCACAGAATATGCTGTAAAGTGAATTAATCGTATCTTTTGTGAGTAAAACGCAGCAGGCAATTGCGCACAGCAGTGTCCCACAAACAGTCGTGGATTGTGTGACCAAATTATTATTTTTTTTGAAGGGATTAACTGCGATGAAAGGAAAAAAAAGATAGCGGGAGGGGAAAAAATTGAAGAATAATTTATGAGAAAAACAAATGTCAGTATCTGTGAGTCGGACCTATAAACCATGGTATCATTTGACTTTAGGATCATAAAACTATCAGGTTTAATATACTTATACATGGCTACAGGTTTTACTACTGAGCAGGAGCTTTCTACAAAGTGCATTTTAGCCGGTCTGTGACGTGTGCCCATTCTGTCCTCTTGCACCAGAGATCTGCAGTTGAAAATTTGCTTTAGGAAAAATATTGTGCTTAGATTTCACATTCACGACGCTTAGCATAAGCTGAATTTCAGGGAAAAGACGGGAACTTCCCTTTGCTTTACCTCAGAATTTATGCACATTTCAAATAGTTGTATAATTCAGTCATAAATCTAAACAAATCATAAAATAAACCATCTCCCAGTGCATTAAAAGTATTACGGAACAAAAGCAAGCATGCTGCAGTTCAGCTTGACCATTTAGCCTGGTGAACACAAACAGCAAAGCGCTCACAACCAAAAAAAGTAAGGATTTGCAAATTTTTGCTCTTCCTGTCTCACACATCAACAACTTGCATTTACACAGTGCCCCTCACGCGGGGTAACGTCCCTGCGCGCTTGACAGTCGCAAAGCACGATGCCAAGTTGGGAGGAGGGGGGAGGTGACCGTAAGCACCGTCAAAGAGGAAGGTCTTCAGGCATGAGCTGAAGATGGAGAAGGAAGGGGCAACGCAGAGGACAGAGAAAGAGTGTTTCAGGGTTTTCGGGGTGTAATGTTGATCACTGAAATTCAATTTCCAACTCATTTTGATCCAAGATACTGTGCCAGCATTGTAAAAAAAACACACACCAGTGACCTGGATTTAAAGCTTGAACGATGCAGCCGCTGTTAAAATACAACAGATCCCACCTAATTTATTTATTTATACTCAATGTCAGCGCAAAGATTTTCTTCGCTTACAAACTGTTAAGCAGGATTTAAAAGCGCCATTAAAAATGTCAGTATGTTTTCAGTGAAGTTACTTTCTCTACTTATTGCCTATTCTTACCTGGAAATTAGTAGTTATGCGCACGTCTGTGTGCACACGTGTACGCACTCACGTATATGCGTGTTCGCATACATCTGCGGGCAAGTATGTGCACGTCACGACAGAGAGAGACACGGAGGGCTTGTGCCTGCACACACGTCGGGGAGATCCCCTCTTAAAGCCCTGCGCAGTTTGCTTACCCGTCAATGATTAGATATTCATACGGAGCCTTCTTGTCGCACACCGGACACACCCACGTGGGCTTCTTCTCGTTCATTTGAATGTACAGAGTCGCGTCGAAACACTGCAGGTGTGAGCAGGTGATAGCCCGACAAGCGATTGTCAGACGCATCTTCCCCAGCTGAAAACAAGCAGTTCAGACCTTTCTGTCAATTTCTGTGAGTACACGCAAAAAACATTTTTTTGAGGCATGAATATAATCAATCGCCTACCCATTAGACGTAGGAGCAGGCCATTCGGCCCCTCGAGCCCTACCCCGCCATTTAATAAGATCATGGCTGATCTTCTAACCTAATTCCATTTACCCACCCTATCCCCATATTCCTTAATTCCTCGATCCTTTAGTTTATTTAAACTAAGCCCTGATCATCAACTTTGATGATGTGGAATAGCGTGCAGCAGATGCTCTTCATTTCTCCACGCAGCAAGAGAGGCAAGATTCTTAATTAATAAATAATTAACCCATTATTAATTCACAGTTAAACTTACAGGACACAACAGGGATACCCGCAAACTGGTTGTCGCTATTTCACTGTCAGGATCAGCCGTTAACTTCTCTTTGACTGGAAACAGAGGAGAGAGAAAACATTAAAAATATATAAAATCATTTGAGGTGATGTTAAAGCCAGGCCATCATTTATTTTAATACAATCTGAAACAGCCATTTGATGTCCCGCAGATGTTTGAAGGCCACCTCACTTGTTTTGAGCATAACAGTGCCATTGCTGTTTAGCTTCCCTGCAGTCTGAAAGTGTGAATACAAACATTTGCTTAATGTCTGAATCCAGCCTACATTTCCTCTGTTGTCCCTTCCTGTTAACATGAAGGCACACCACAAAACCACTACACATGATTTGCCTGTACAGGATAAACCCTGTGGGGCTGAGAGGAAATGGGAAGCTTCTGGCTAGGACTGACCTAAGTGGCCAGAAATTCTCTCGCTGAAAGAATAATTTCAAGTCGACATTTTGCTTCACTGGCAATAAGCAGCTTCTTGATCCAAGATCTCAGCACACAACCTTTTCTGGTCATTAAAAAAAATGTCCTGGTCAAAATCAATAGCGCTTTCAGGGTTGGGGGAGGGGAATGGAGAGGGCAGAGAAAGAGTGGCCGTGGAAATGAAAGACATCTAACAGAAGGACTCTTAATGAGGAACAGTTGAGTGCTTGCTTCAAAGCCATTGTGTCAGTTCTTTCACACCAGCGGCGTCCAGCATTCCAGACCTGGTAAAAGGAGTCTCTGACTTTTTTAAAAAAAACATACCACACTCTCAGATCAGTTTGCATCTCTCCTTTAGAGGAAGAGCAGCGAGGGCGCCTTATCTGCTTCCAGGCAGGAACATTTCATTAGCTGGGGCGGATTCCTTTCTCCCAAATAATACCAACTGCAACACAAGGATAACCTCCCACTTCCCCTTTTATAGCTCAGAGCTGTTTTCACTACCACAAAACAACCCTCACCAGTGGCAGAACAAACAAAGCCTGCTGCATCTAAGACATTTGGAAAGGCATCAATAAGGTGGGTGTATGAAATGCAAGATCAAACAAATGGCACACAGAAGTGAAATTATCTGTTCACCCAGCTCTTGTTTGTTACAATAAAGGGGGTATTAAGGAGCATAGCTAAGAGTCTCCATTGCCATCCACAAAAGGAACAAAGCCTGGACTTTTGCAGGGAAAAGGTGCAGGTTCCCATAGAGCAGCTGAAACGTCTCAAGACATCCCCTCCCTCCATTCCTTCCCCAGTGTCAGCCCATCTAACCTTGGGGAGGGGTGCGTTCCCATCATTTCCTCCCCTTTCCAAACACAAGCTTCTGTGCTGTAAAATGAATGACCGGCAAGATGCCTCCTCTTCCTTCCTACTCAAAGCTACACACACACACACACACACAGAGAAAGACACAAACCCACACAGAAAGCCACACCCACAACCCCCCCAACAGCCCACCTAAATCAACTGTTTAAATGATAAACTGCAAAATGTGATCTTTCCACTTAACTCATTCCTAAGCGAGTATTTTTCTATGAAACCAGATCTCGAGGTTTTTATACTGCTACCAGTTTAGCAGGCAGGCTCCATGGCAAAACAAAAACTTAGCTACAACTTGGGTCACCAGTTTGGGTGCACTGTTCTGTCCCTGGGCATTCCCTACAGTACAATGTGTCCAGAGCCATCAATATCAGGTTTCAAAAGGCAGATTTCATAACAATTGGGAGGGGGAGGGTTGAAAGAGATGAGGAGAGAAAAAGCCTTTTAATTTTGTCTGAACGCATTTGGCCAACCCTGGGGATTTGGAGTGTGCAAACACGCAAGTTACTAACTCTGCTCGAGACAAAATAGTAATAAGGCGGCACTAGGGCATATCAGAGCAATGAGAATTCGGAGATATTCCCTTTAAAGCGTGGGTGCTAGATCAGCGATGCAGGCAAAAAGGTTAAAGAGATATTCAACAGAGATTTCACCTCTACAGGAGGCAGCAATGATAACCGTGTCCCAGTAAATAGGACTGATTTTCCATATAAGAAGCACTTTTTAAAAGAAACTTGGAATATATTACACATTGCCTCGGTTGTATAAACAAAGACTCGTTTTTACTGCCAGAAGATATTTTGAGCCGACAAAAAAAAACATTCTCGACCCAGCCAATGATTTCCAAAAAAGAAAAATCTTTAATACGTGAAAATAAAAGTAGTACGTGGAACTCCATATCTCCAGGGCCTCAGCACGAAATGCAAGATTATATTGCGGATCTGATTGCCTCTGTTGCCTCTGCTAAACACAGTGTCATATTAGTTCTATCTTAATGGACGCAAACTATTGCTTCACCAATCTGGCTTCCTGAAAGATTAGGGAGTGAATACGATCTGGAGAAACTCAAGCACTTCCCCCCTCCCCCACCACCTTGTCAATTGGGAATCATTTTTGGTGATTATAAGCAGCTGAGGTAGACTCTCCCTTCAATTTGCATGTTCCTTTCATCTCGAGAAGTGTCTAGCCTATGCAATCGTTTTCTGTTAGTGCTAATGCCCATTTCTCTCTCCCACCCTCTCATCCTGGTCAAAATTACTAACTCACTTTAGAGCACAAGTTTAAAGGGTTTGAATTCATACAAACGTATAGTACACATGGTTCTGTGGGCAAATATGGTTATGAGTGTTATGAGTGACACAGAGTAACACTGGGCCCAGGCTTAATCCTTAGCCTATGCTAATACAGGATTATTGTCTGGCTTGCCCTGTTCAAAGTATGTACAGTAATTTCTGGTAAATATAGAACCCTATGATCAGCTATGATCTTTCCCCTGACTCTACCTTCCCTCCAATCCAAGCATCCTTCAAAAGCAATGACAAATGCACACCTTCAACACGATTAACTAATTCAATCTTTTTCCTATTAAAACTATTTCATGGACTAGTTGGGCCAAGTGGCCCGTTTCTGTGGCGTATGCGAAACGAAATTCAGTGCAAAAGAAGTTGAAAACTATTAAAGTACAGAGGGAAGGAGGAGCCCTGAAGAATTGTGACGTTGGCTCTTATCACTTGACCAAATGCCTCAACCCACAAATTAGTACATACTTAATGCTCTGGAATGGTCCGGATTCCTTATTCCTTTTGCCCTTAGTCTTTGAAGCAACAGTGCAGAAGACAGCTGCTTCACAAGATAAACAGCCATGGAATAGTTCTGGAAAAATAAAATACATGAAACCATGAAGAGTGAATTCCAAAACATAACTCATCAGCAAAGTCCATTTAAAACATGCTCTTATGAAATACAAGCACGCAGAATGTCAGATAAAGCAAAATTTGTTTTTTAGATTTTTAAATTTTGTACGCACTACATTTTACTAATTTCTTGGGAATGGAAACAACGTGGCTTTGCAAGGATAGCTACTCAAGGACTTTAATGACAAGAGCATTTATACGTCATCACCTCACACACACAAAAAAGTTCTGCGTCCAAATAGTGTAAAACAAGGTCTCAAAAGCAAAACTTCACCCAAACTTTAATCAGCAAGGAAGTCATTGAGACAAAACCCAAGACTATGTAATCTCCTGCTGATTCATCAGGGCTGGCTATAGTGAGGGCTGCCTGATCTGCTGAAATGCAATCGGCACAGTTCCTTAAAAAAACACTCATTGAAAAAATAGGCATTACCATATATATTCAAATTGTTCTGCTTGCTTATCTGATTTTGATGAAATAAAAAAATAAAAATTCCAAAGTTCACAGCTAGAAACAGAGGAGAAAAAAAAATGACCCAGCTTGTACACAGCTCATAATTAAACATATGGGAATAACAAAAATATGTAAAAAACTGTTCCAATCAATTCTGTCCCAAGTTTTGTTCTGGTAACTACTGAGAGCTGTAGGAGACAATTGTGGGGGCAATTCTGACATTGGGTTAATGCTCTGAGGCACCTGTCCCTAAACACCAGTCTGAGTTGCTGGGTTGAGATGGTTCAGACAGTAACAGACGCTGGAAGAACTATTCCCCCTGTAGCTCCTACATAAGCAGAACAAGCTATCACGCTTAAAATTGTATTCCACATCTTATCTAGACAAACAGAACTTCCAAGGATAAAAGTGTATGGTTCTATTGTACTTAATGTATTTTTTTNATTAGTGGTCAGCCTGCCTGATGTTCCATGTGCCTAATTGGTGACCAACTGGACAATGCTCCTTTGGGAGTGCAGTCAAACTAACGGGACAGTAGTAGGAGTTCATTAAGTATAGTTTAATAAAGCATGCAAGGGTTATCTAAAAGATAGTGAAAGGAAACCAACAAGAAGCTTGTAAAAACTCTTTCCCTTTGGTGATCACACAGGCCCAACTGGTATGAAAACTACCAACTTCACGATGAAGTCCGAGGTGAATTATTCAGGATGACCAAAGCTTACCCTTCCAATCTCCGCTGACCAGGAAACCACAATAGTGTTGGGCACCGTCGTGGACAATCGAACCAGTGAGGTAATATTGATTGGTCGGCTGGGTCGCTTTGGTTCAACACCATTTTTGGTTGGTGGAAGATAGCCCTGAAATACAGTCAAAAGTTACTCAGGTTCTCTTGGCCCACTCCGTTCGAACAAAAAGGCTGTGTTTGATTGGGACTTTAACACTTACTGGAAGGTTGCAAGGTTTTCCGTTTACTTTCACGCACAAGTTAGGAGGAAAGTGATCTTCCTGTGGACAACTGGTTTCTGATAAACAAAACCTTTTAAAAAAAATGGAAAATTGCAATCTTTATCCATTAATTCTATCCGGCACTTATTAACTGATGGACAAACTTGACTTGTTAAATTGGGTTACTGACTGGAGGACAAATGTTGGAACATTTAGCACCACACTTTTCATATGTATTACTGTGAAAATTCTAAGCATCGTCAGTCAATCTATATTGCTGAGCCCATTTAGACCTATTAAGAACATTGAAGCTCATATTAAATAGAACTGACATGTTAAATAGTGCCAAAAACGTAAGCAGCAGTAAAATGAATCTGCATATCATTCTCGCAATTTCTAAGCAAAAANGCATCAACTTTTCAAACCTTTTAGATATATTGCACATAGTGAACAAGAGCAAGTCATTGAGCAAGGTATACTCAACAATACTCTTATAAAACATTGGTACCAAGGAATCAACATCTTGTCCTAAAGAACATGTTAAAGATAGAAGACAAGGTGAAAAGTAATATTTTTTTTAAAAAAAGCAACGATAACCAAAACAGGAGAAATTTACCTTAACTGAACCTGAACTGTGAAGTCACACTTGGTCCCCGATATGTCCCTAAACAAAGATGAAAAACATACCATTCAAATATTTGATGATAGTACATACATCAGCTGGACCAAGGAATCAATCTCAGTCTCTCAACAATCCAATATTTTATAGAACGCTCAATTTTGCTTGACAGACTTTGATTAGGTCAGTTCACATCATCTAATACAACTGGATATTGGACATAAATAGTTCAATTTCCCCAATCGAATCCACTTCAAACAGGAGTAGCAATCGTAAGCACGGTTCTACATCCAATGCAATGGTTCACAATTGTCAATACGACCTGATGTATTTTATCAATATAGCACCACAGACCTGATTTTGGCACTACTGATTTCCACTGGTTAGGCTAAGTGTACAATTGTAGTCAACACAAACTAATCCACATTCTGCAGAAGCACAAATTGGAAGTAGGTGCACAGTACTCACATTGAGCTGCTGATCTGCTGAACCTGCTGTGGTGTCAGCGCGAACGCGAAGCACGTCTCCTGAAACCGCTGGTTATTATCTGAAGCTTTAAGAGAAAGAAATCTTGAGTTTTTAATTCATGCACTTGCCTCATTCGTCAAGTACGAGTGGTTCTGAAACACTGGATCAGATCACACATCTAGCCCAATGTCCCTTTGGCTGGAGATCACAAAATCTCCACTCCCAGTGACAGCAACTTCAGTTTCTCCTCGAAACAAAGGTGCTGACTTCTACAACAACAACATTTTATGGGGCGTTAGGCACTCTCCAATACTATGCCAAGTAGACATTTTTGTGTGCGCGCTAAGCTTCACTCTAACCAGTGGCTTTACGAACTGACCCATCAGAGGTGCCTGAAATGTAAACCTGAATTGCGATGTCAAGGTCACCAACATGCTTAAACAAATGTGAAACAATTTAAATTATGCAATTGCTGCTAAGTTGATTTGGTGAACACAAGTCTATATTGAATGTCAGAAAGACTGTTTTCAACCCAAGCCACTGTTTTGTTCGCAGTCAGTTTTTAATATTTTTTTTGCAGATTATTAAAATTCCATGTGAGTTAACTACAAATAATTTCCTCAATGAAACTGCAGAATCGAGATTCCAAAAAGGAGCACAAGTAAACTGAAAAATTCCCACACTATATTGAAGAATTTTATATTTATATATAAATAAAACAGTCACACACAAGGGAGTAATTTTAAAGCCATAATATAAAAATCACTGGAACCAGATGCCCATGAACTGCTTAAAGTTCATTCTTGCAGTTGGAAATGTCATCTAGTTCCTCGATTGCTGCCGTGCCTGTTAACCATTCTCTAGTTTCCATACTTTTGGGGAAAGGAACCACGGGGGTGGGGGGAGAATGGAGAGAGAGTGAGAAAGCACACTAGGTTACTTTCACAAGATCACACGCAAGGTTCAGATCCTTTTTTGAACCACGGGCCAGGTCCAAGCACTTTCAAATCAAGTAAAATAAAATTTATCCGTTGAAAAATAGCATTTGCTACTGCATCATTGTGCACTTTTCCACAATATCCATACCGCCTGAGGGAGATTACACTAACTTTATGGGCCCATCTATTCCTCTCTCTTAGGAGAGACAGGGTGGGCCTACATAACGTGACAATCTGAACTGTCACTTGGAGAGGATGCTGCGGATACCTGTGAATTTCTCCAGTAATTGTCACTGCCTTAAAAAACGAGGGGATGAAAAAGAAAAAAGGATTTCTACCATTTAAAGTTCTTGGCCTCAGAAGAGAGAATTTACACAATGTATTTTTAAAAGGTAGGTTGACTACTGACTGCTTTGCAGCCCAAGTAACAAGACCAAAAAAACAATCACTGCTTCATCTATCCTAAGATTTAAAATCGTCTGGATACGAACGCCAGTATATAAAAACACACGGTTGTTCTCAAGTTCCAATAAAATGGAAGATACCAGTTGTAGCAGAGTGAAATAGCCCTTCTCGCTGCATACGCAAATGCTAAAGGCAGGACTTGGCACACTCAGTCAAAAATTCTCACTGTATAAACTAAACAAACTGGTGCCAAAGCCTGAGCACAGGTGCAACAACACACGGGAAGCTTCTCGCTCACAGAAGCAGCAAGAATATCACCAATGCAGATGGGAGAGAGAGTTAGCACATGTTGTACAGGGCACAAGGAGGTCATGGTGAGGCTTTGATAGCTTTGGAGAATTGCCCACCGTATGCTGATGAGCAGGATCCACTAGAATCTCAAAAAATTGGGATTCGTGGAGGAATTTCCTTAAACTGCTAACCAAATCTGATTTTACCCATTTGATTACCGTTAACAGTATATTCTGTGAAGCGCTTTGAGCCGTCTCGATGACATGATAAGACACTATATCAAAGGCAAGGATTATTACTAAATTACGAGAATCAGGATTTTTTTTCTACTCAGGCTGTGATGTAGAACTCAACTTTCTTTCTGACTTGAATTTTAAGCTGTGATACATGAACAAACATCACCTTTCCCTGTAGTGACAGCTTCACAGTTACCTTACTCTATGTATTGGGCAATGAAAGGGTTTGTTGCAGTGAAACAAAACACCAGACAACTTTTCCCATTCCTATTTGCGAGCAGAAATTAATCTAGTTTTCACTACAGAATCCAAACCTAGAACATGTCAAAGGTAAGTAATCAGTTGAAACTTCTGAAATGTCCCGCAAATGTCCAGATGACATCTTAGAAGACATCAACAGATTTAATTCAATATACTGCAGTTTTCAGGACTTCTAATGTCGTCTTAAGTTCTCTCCCTTCCCTGCTCCTCTTTCCAAGACTGTACCACAAAGGTTAGCCCCAAACTAGTCAGTTTGTAATCTTTGGAGCATCTTTAGGCACATTGCACTTGTAACAAACAGTGCCCCATTTAGTGTACAAAAGAGACCTCTGATCTATTTTCCCAACACTTTTTTTAAAAAAAAGACTGCATTTGCAAGCAGACAATCCCATACAGGCTTTATATTAAACAAATATTTTCAGCATTGTATCTGTTGTTTGCAGGTAAAAAGGGCAACTCCGTAGAAGATTTTCCTGATTTTTAAAAAAAAACTAGGGCAAAGTTCTAAACATTTCCTTTGCAGGGTGGAGTACACTAACAAACCCTGTTTCCAAGGCACCAGAAAATCTTTAAAGCAGCCAATTTATTAACCACGCATTACACACATCAAGTTACTTTTCTGCTGGGATTTAGTCTGTCACACCACAAGCGAGGATTAAATAACTTACAATACATTGAGGTAGATTTAAGGAGTATAAAACTTCACACTATTATCTGAACAAAAATATCCCTTTCGCAATCTCGAATAATGGCACACCCCAAAAAAAGCACAGCACAGAACCCTCTACTGGGTCTTTGTTTAATCCATTAAACACATAAAAAGAGAACACAGCCCCAATAACATTGAGCATCTTCTCTGCGGCAGTCAATCTACTCATCTTTCCACCAGCACAAAGTTATAACAAAGGTACAAAATGTACATAAGTCAAAAACAAACTGTACTCCCAAAAACATATTACTGAAAGTTCAGTGCCACTTACACAGCACCAGAAAGTACCCTCTGTACTATGCAATACACACTTATATAACGCCTTTCACATCAGAAAGATGTTTCAACGCGCTGTACGGTGCTGGCCGGGCACGTGAGCTGAGGCTGGGAGTCAGGGGGATAAGAACATAAGAATAAAGTTGGTGAAAGAATATCAAGGTCCAACTAGTTCGCCTTCCACCATCCTGGCAGTCGCTTGACATGTCGTGCCCAAATTATATACTGTGTCCCGAGATATTATTTTCAAGCATGGGTGAAGATGATCATAAGCATGAGTTATGTTTTCAGACTGGTCTCAAAGGGGGAGGGGGAGAAAAGTCTTTAGACTGAAGTTAGCTTTGCAAGGATTCCTTGCTAACTTGAGCTGGAAGCTACGGTAAACACCGAGGTGATTTCTTAAAAGTGCCGCACTGGAAGCAAATTGGCAGGATTCAGAAACATGGAAACAAAGTTTTGAATTACTGCTGATAGTTACATAGTTCTCACTCCACTCATCCACTATAAATAACCAAAGTATTTATCATCTTAAATTATAAGATGTGTCATGATTAGTAGTACCAGAGAACAAAGTCCGTAAAGTACACTTGGGGGTGACCTGTATTATCTCAGAATCGGACTACCAATAAAATTCACGAAGGAGGCACTTCCCTATACTCAAGAACAGATGCAAGTACAGTACCTCCAAATTATTAGACTTCAACTGCACAAAAGTGTCTCATGTCATAGTGGGAACAGGTTCCATTCTCCCACTGTTTAATGTCAAGCTTAATTGGTTCAGACTTATTTATGCATAATAATAATCCTAGCACCTTACCACAACGTTGACAACGTCTCAAAGCGCCTCAGAGTTCACTGAAAGCATTTTTTTGTTTTGTTTTTGCTGCAGTTTATCATTTGCACTGCAGAATAAAACATTTGAACTGGTTTAGTTCTTACCTAGACTAGTTGGCTTGATCAGTTCATCGAGAATGTCATAAAAGGGCAGTTTCTGGAGTTTGACATCTGGATGTACAGGATGAAGAGATGACGTCAGGTGTGGCAGGTCCAGTTCATGTTTAGGTCCCATCAGAGAAACAGCAAGCAGGGGCGATGTGGTTGCATGACTGTCATAGGAGAGCTGTGGGATAGCAGATGGTGACAGTGGTGTAGTCATGGAAGCTGACGTTGTGTGGACAGAAGGGAGAGTCAGGTCGGTGGGGGTCACAATCTTCTGTGGGAATCTCCGCCTATAGAGTTCTTTAATTTTCATCTGAACAGCTGGACTGCAGCCAGCTTTCAACAAATGCAGTGCCTTTGTCAGAAGTTCGTGTTTACGTCCGTGTTTGTTCCGTCCAGCATAGCCCAATAACACTTGGAGCTCCGACACTCTTAGGCTCATAACCATTTGCTTTAAACGAGGAAGGGAAAAAAAGGAAAACGTCAGTAACATGGGAAAAAATACATTATAGTGTGAAATGTAATTATTTTAAACATTATCCATGGTTCATGCCATCAAATCTAAACTACATATCATACATCTCATCATAGACCAATTGAAGAATTCATATGAGTACCAATGGCAAACACACCGCACCCCCTGGGAATCAATACTCTGCAAAAACCCAACCTTGCAGTAAACAATCTTCTTCTGGTTCCAGCAATCCAATTGGAATTTTGGTTTGGCTATTTCGATATGCAAATGTAGGCCGTCCAATTACTAAATCTCACAAGTTTGCAAGGTTAAGTGGTTATGGGCTAAAGTGTTCAATATCATAATTTCAGTGCTCATTTTCCTCCTATGGATTAGGGAAGCTGATACCATACAGCACAATAAGATTCTACATTTTGCCTTCTCTCTGCACTTCTGATTTTTGAAAAAATGATTGATATTCCATCTGCAACTCATGAAGGCAAGATATGTAATATACGTGCAAATTGGTACCTTGCTCAAGTGGACATCATGGGCTGAGCGTCAGCAAGCTATTCAAACATGGGGGGGGGGAATCAGAGTCAAACCCTCTCCTGTCCCTAACCAGCATACACACACTTGAAACTTTACAGCCTGGGTTAGGGTGAGGCTATTGATCAGAAACTCTTAGTATACTCTAATATCCACATGTGCATTTTGCTCCTGATTACACTCTGGCTCCAAGCATTTACACATGTATTTCAAATACATTACATTCAGCAGCAGCTACAGAAACTGACCTGTTTCACTGCATACTTACAAAAAAAAAGGTTGTTTTCTTGAACAGGAAGGACATGTCACTTGAAACCCTGTCACTGAATGAATTGCAAATCACTCCTTTTCCCTGGCATTGTGGCCATGGCAACAGAAAAAACACTACATATATAGCGAGAAGCTTTCAAAAAATGGATTTTTAAAAGCATATTGGTGCTATCTATGCAGAACAGATCTGTAACTACTACATTCACACCTATGCTTTGTGTTAATAGAAATGTACTTAACTTGCAGAGAGTAAAAAATCCACTTAAAGCCTTGCATATAGTAAACCAATAGGCCATTGTTGGCAGTGCTTCACTTAAACAAAACAGGGTTTACATAAGGACGGATTTAAGGTCTCAAAACAGTTTTCTGAATCATTTTTGGTAATATAAGCCTTTAACCACAGCCAGTCCAATAAGCCATCACCTTAAAGAGTTGACTTTTGAGACTTCCTGTTATTTAGTACAACATTCTAATTTAAATGATTTATTGAATATGCGGAATTCAGGGCATCAAGGAATGGTACGAGTAACCCTTGGTTAATTGACTTGATGCATTGTGAAGCTCATATCTCATCATTCTCTCAACAATTTCTAGCTTAATTTGTTCCTACACTAATTTGTTCTATGAAGATACTGAACATGAAAGAAGGAATATCAAAACCCAATCTAATACTCTTGACTAAGAAGTGAGAATGCCTGCAGCCACAATAGACAAATAACCTTGCTTGTTGTATAACAGGAGTAATGCACAGAGAAGTGAAACAGACCCTACTTCCTTTCTATCATTCCATTTAAAATTTCTGACAAAGATCAACTTGCTCAGTTATTCAAGTTATACAATAATCCAATTTCTGCTGCTTCAGAGAAACTCTGTTAATCTATCACATTTCCATGAAGCATTATACCCAAATTTGCAGCTAGATTTTTGTACGCTAGAAATAGAAATAATGCTAAATGACTTTGAATATCAAATACGGATATTGCACAGAAATGAACAATACATTAAGAACTGCATCCAACTGCAACTGCATTCCAGGCACGGCGAAACCTTGGGCAAGTTTCCTTACTCCACACAGAGCCTAATAATAATCCCTCCAAAAACAATAATAAATTGGTCATTTTCAATCTACGACTGTCTGTGGGACATTGCTGTGCGCAATTGGCTGCCGCGTTCGCCCACAAATATACAGTCAATTCACTTTACAGTGTGTTCTGTGAAGCGCTTTGGGACGTCCTCCCAACATGAAAAGCGCTATATCAAATGCAAGGATTATTATTATTATTAAAGGGAACCTTCTTCCATTAGTTAAACTACAGTACTTGATTTCCACTCCAGGACTATTTTGCGAATATGAGGGACAAACACAGCTGTGGTGGCAGAGACCTCCAGTTGCCACAAGTTCATCTCAATCTTTAATTAAAGAAAAAACAAGTTTGGGTGCAATTGTGTCCTGAATTTACTACCAGTCTGCTTTTTGAGGGGGTGGGGGGTGAAGAGACAGAAATCAAAAGTAAACCGTGTTAAAAGTTGTTTCCTTCTGTAGGTACTGCATAGATTACCAACCAGTATCTTAGTATACAATGCTCTACTTTGCTTATCTAGAGTGAGTAATGGATCACCAACTTTGTTAAACTAAAAATACTTTAGCATTCAGAAACAATACACAATCTTGGTGGTGTTCTGAAGAATCTCAGAAAACATCCAGCTGAAGCACACAAATAATTATAAGCAAATAAGCTGAACAAAATTGGAACACTTCATGGTACTAATGCCACATCAATAAAACGTGCAATTACTCTGCAAGAGCTGATACTAAGGTACAAATGAGCTACAAGGTGAAACATAAAGGTACTGTAAACAGCAGACCTGGAGAAGGCTGAATAAACTAATATTATATAAAAATCTGATCACATGGAGCGATTTCATGCAATAATCTAGCAATGGGGATTCATACAAGCACTTGTAAAGTGCTCAGTTTCCTTTTGCAGTTTGAGTTTCTTTTGAACCTTTTCACTTAATTTCTCCCTTGGTAATCAACTATAAATATTCACATAGTTGGTAGCACACTCGCCTCAGAGTCAGAAGGTTGTGGGTTCAAGTCCCATGGCAGGACTTTGAACTCTTTTGGGTCTCAACTGACTGGGGGAAGAGCGCTGCATTGCTGGAGTATCTGTCAGTTGGATGAGATGTTAAAGCGAGGTCCCAACTGCCTGTTCAGATGAACGTTAAAGAGGACTATTACAGTCCTTTTTTATTCACAAAATAAAACTCTGGGTGTTGCGCAAAGATAATTCTTTCTGTCAAAAGGAAAGGGTGGGAAGAGAGACATTTACCATTGAAAAAACAAAGCTAAATTTGGTTAAAAAAACATACAGGATTGATTTTGGAACATCATCTTACCTCTCGTATCAAGAAACTGTCTGGCTGCAACGCAATGTAAAGCTAACTTGTAAAATGAATTCCAGAATAAAAAACGACCGAAAACAATGGGAAAGATCAAGAGTATATTTCATCCCAACTAGTTTACTTCTCTGCTCATTCTTATCCAGACTGATCATCAATATTCTTTTGCTTTTCAATATTGCATTCTGTGCCTAATAAGATTATTTCATAGCTCCATCTGTACGTCTGAATCAATTAGGACACGGAAATATCAGCCACATTGAGGAGCGAGCTACCTGAAGCATTTGTTCACAAGCCCACACACTGCAGGAGAACTCCATCCTCAGTAATCAGCTCAAGTCACAGAAGGAAGAGAAAACATCTCAAAGATAAAGGAATGTCAGGGAGGTTGAGAAGCAATTAGCCCACACCCCGATATTTTGATATTTGTCACAATGCAACAACCACAACAAAATTACATTTGTATAGCGTCTTTCACGTCGGGAGGATGTCCCAAGGCACTGGACAATCAGTGTTTCGGACCTTAGCTGAGGGTTGGGATTGGGTCGGTATCAGGACACTGCTGTTCTCACATTATAAAAGACAGAGAAATGGCAGCACAATCATGATAAATATAAATCTTTATGCATGCCTAATATGAAATGTTTTGTGTCGTTTGTGCATTTGCTTACTGGTTATACACCATTACAGAGCTATATATGTGAGTTAGGTACTAGCTAAGTAATATAAACTGTAAAGTGAATTGACTATATTTTGTAGACAAAACAAAATACAGTCAATTTATTTACAGCATTCTGTGAATCGCTTTGAGACGTCTCGAAGACATCTCAAAGCGGAGCGCCTGAGCAGAAACCTTCAGACAGAAGTGGTACCGATTTTTTTAGAAAAAGGCTGAAAAACACTGCTTTCAAGCAACACTCAATCAAGTCATTGTCTAATGCACAGCTGACAGACCATTATATCTCAGTTACAGAGAGGTCCGTTGCTGTAATAGAAGTTCAGTACAATGTATGGAGAATCTGAGAGTGGATTCGTGGAGCAAATACAGCGGGAGTTCTCAATTGGCCAACTAAATGAACAAATGGGCCACTGCACAACCTGTGCTCGTAAATAGGTCAAAGATTTTTTTCTAAACTTCAAAATAATCATTGCATTAAACCTGCTATGGTTCTAGATTATACCAGGGAATCCATGAATTAGATGTATGCACTGCAGCAACTTCAGGTTTCTGAAGCGCAAGAGCACCCGAGATACTAACACTACTGCAAGGAAAACCAACTGAGAATCTAATGGCAAACTGGTACACTGCCATTAGAGAACACTAAGATACAATAAATAGATTTGTAAAGCAACATATTATTAAAGACTTGCTAGTAAATCAGTTTCATTGGCTTTCTTGCGTATAGGAGAAAGTGGGACAGAAATCTGGATGGGAGCCGAAATCTAACTACGGTGCAGGACTCCTAGAAACATGAATAGGCGAATCAGCCCATTGAGCTCACTCTGCCATTTTATTAGTTTGAGAGAATCTTTTTAATCTTTCAAATCTTATTTTAATAATGAAAATAATAATTTGGTCACTCAATCCATAACTGTTTTTGGGACACTGCTGAGAAAGCACTATGAAAATACAGGTTATTCTGATTCATGCAACTTTACCAATAACAATAATTCTAAATTACAATTTTTGGTCCTGGCACAAAAGCGAAAGAACAAATTATGGCTTTGAAATGAATCTTTGGAGATGCCAAAAATGAAGACATCAAAAGATAGTT